GTACGGAAAGATCATACAAAGCGAGGCCAAGACAAATGATTTGTACAGCTTGATGTGTAGCCTGATTGATTAGTTATTTACACTTACCTATTAAGTAAATAAAATCCTCGTAAATGAATTCCATTTTGATCAGCTTTTACATTAATCGTAAAAGCTAGAAGCACAACAGTGTCATTTCTCTAAATACACTAAGAATTCGCCTTTTGAGTTCGGACGTATTACGGAACTTAGTTGCATACACTCGGCGCTTCACTTCTCCCAAAGATAAAAGTCCAGCGGGGTAAGGTCGGTTCATCGCCCAGGAAACTCCTCAACCAGCATAGCCCTGATTTGCAGCTGAAAATGTGCAGGGGCACCGTCATGTTGGTAGTAGAGGTTTCTCAGTGAACGAAGAGGCACATTTCCACTGCACGTTTATGTAGGACATAATAACATAAAGCGACGTAGAATGTCGGCACTGCGCGGCGCGATTTTAAATCAAATTAACACGTACATTCCGTACCGACGCAGCTGGACGCAGCGAAGGTGACTGACACACTGACACAGTGACATTGGCCTTGACCGCGAATCGCTGCCGCTACCTACAATAGAGGTAATCTCTAGCAGTTAAATTAATTTAAATAATTTAGAATGTAGCTTACAAATCCTTAATAGTTGCAATTGTATAACTCCACAAAATGATAATAAAAATTGTTTACACCTGGTGCATCAGAATATACAAGGCATGATAGGCAAAGAGCTAGAAATTGAATTGTTTTTAAATAGCAACAATATTCATATTTTATGTATTACTGAACATTGGTTAAAAGCTCATAATTTAATGTTTAACTTTAGTAATCACCAGGTGCTCAGTTCTTTCAATAGAGAAACGATTTTAAGAGGTGGCTCCTTAATTTTAGCTAGTAAATTATTATCATATAAAGAACGTAAAGATATTGTGAGCCTCTCTGTTGAGCGAACTGTAGAAATGGCATGTGTTGAGTTTGAGCAACTCATTGTTGTGAGCGTTTACAGACCCCCATGTTCTTTATATGATACTTTTGAAAAAATTATGGAGGAAGTTTTCGCTAAGCTTAATAAACAGAATAAATCTGTTGTAATATGTGGAGACTTTAATATCAATCTCCTAGAAGCTTCCTCCACTAATATTAAATTTAGATCATTGTTTAAATCTTATGGTCTTTTTAATTTATATTTGGAGCCAACACGTATTGCTGAATCTAGTGCAACATGTATAGATAACATTTTTACAAATGTTAAGCCGTTCAATAAATGTATAATTCAAAAATTGAGCTCTGATCACTGTGGACAATTTGTTTCATTGCCTTATGTACACAAAAAGCAAGTAGATAAAAAAGTAGTGTTTGTTCCATTAAATGCACATCGCTTGGAGAAGTTTAGAAGTAACATAGTAAAAAAACTTCCATTACTTTCATACCAAAATAATCCAAATTTTTTGTATGCAACATTATTTAAGCTCATTTGCAATGAATTTAATAATACTTTTACTTCTAAAACATTCTCCTTGAATAATCGTAAATCATTTAATGAATGGGCGACAGTAGGAGTCCATAAGAGTAGACAAAGGTTATATGAACTTTACAATGAAAGGTCATATAATCCTAGCGCCGAATTTAGGGAATGTGTAAAAAAATATTCCAAAATATTTAAAAGAGTGTGCTCCTTAGCCAAGTCATTGTATTTAAGCAACAAAATAAAGACTGCTTCTAATAAAATTAAAATGACATGGAGTATAATTAATAGTGAAACTGGTAAGGTCAACTCTCGCAATTCAAACTACCAGTTAAGTTTTAACAATAAATTAACTAAATCAGATCAGGACGTTGCAATGGTTTTTGAGAAATATTTTACTGATATTCCGATCTTAACCACTAAGTCACTGAATTCTTCTCTACCGTCGCCGAATCATTACTTAAACAAAATGTAAATGTGTGTACAAAGAATTTTACATTTCATAAAGTTTCATCAAAAGATATTGTAAAATATTTTAAGACTATTGATATTAGGAGAACCGCCGATCTGTGGGGGATTTCTGTTAAAGTTATGGTATAAGATACAATCGCACCTCAACTATCTATTATTTTTAATAGTAGTATCAAATCTGGTGTGTTTCCTGATTTAATGAAGCATAGTAAAGTAATACCTTTATTTAAATCTGGTAGTACATTGGACCCCGCTAATTTTAGACCTATTTCTGTACTGCCAACATTTAGTAAAATTTTTGAAAAAATTATTCTTGATCAATTGTTAATTTTTTTTAATGTAAATAAATTACTTCATAAAAATCAATTTGGTTTCACAAGGGGTCGCTCGACAACTGATGCTGGTGTTGAGCTGATTAAATATATATTTAATGCATGGGAGAATTCACAGGATGCTTTGGGTGTGTTCTGTGACCTATCCAAAGCCTTCGATTGTGTTCACCATGAAACATTAATCAGGAAACTTCAACACTACGGTGTAAGAAATGATGCTCTTAAATTAATTATTTCATATTTAAGTGACAGAACACAAAAAGTTGTTATTAATAGTATGAGTTCTTCCGGGTCGATTGTACAAATGGGCGTGCCTCAGGGCTCAATTCTCGGCCTCTTTCTGTTTCTTGTATATATTAATGACTTACCTTACATAGTAGGGGATAACCATGATATAGTATTATTTGCTGATGATACTTCATTAATTTTCAAATTAAAACGACAGTTATTAAATTACGACGAAGTAAATAATGCTATAGCTAAGTTAGTCAATTGGTTTAATGTCAATAATTTGCATTTGAATGGAACTAAAACTAAATGTATGAAATTCGTAACTCCTAATGTTAAACATGTCAATACTAATGTAATTTTAAATGGGGAGGAACTGAGTCTTGTTGATACCACCATTTTTCTTGGAATCACACTGGACGCAAAGCTTCAATGGCTCCCCCATATATCAAAACTAGCTAGCAGACTTAGTTCTGCAGCATATGCTGTAAAAAAGATTAGAACTCTTACCAGTGTTGAAACAGCTAGAATAGTTTACTTTAGTTATTTCCATAGCATTATGTCGTATGGTATTTTACTATGGGGACACGCGACTGACACTGAAATTATATTTATTTTACAGAAGAGGGCCATTAGAGCAATATATAATTTAAAACCAAAAGAGTCACTGAGACAAAAATTTAAGGAAATTAATATATTAACTCTGGCCTCTCAATACATTTATGAAAATGTAATGTACGTACACAAAAATAAAAGTAGTTTTGCGAAAATAAGTGATATTCATTCTGTAAATACTAGGAGCAGACACAAGCTGGTAGTACCAGTTACTCGACTTCATCGAGTCAGTAATTCATTGTTGGGGCGATGTATTCGCTTTTACAACAAAATCCCAGAAAATATACAAAAATTGTCATACACAAAGTTCAAAAATGTTATTAAACTAAGTTTGTATAAAAAGGGTTATTATAATATTAAGGAATTTATAGATGATAATAACCCCTGGGAAGGGTGATCGCTACCAAGCTATTTCTAATTTGTCTTGTGTTGTTGATTGTAAACATGATTGTAAGCTATTATTAAAAAAAATTGTCCCGCTGGGTTTCTTGCTGGTTCTTCCCAGGACAGAGGTTTTTTTTTGCGAACCAGTGGTAAATTAAAAAAGTGACTTTCAATAAGTATTTTTATAATCTACATTGAATAAAAAAGTTTCTATTTCTATTTCCTACGATATGTTTAGTTTTTTGTTGTGAATTCTGTAGGTATATCCCTACTTGCCTAGGGTGAAATAATTGTAAGAAAAAATTGAGATTTGATAAAACAATGTTGTTATTTTTCATTGAAATTACTTTCTATAAGTGAAACCAAACCACTGGTTTCAAGGACAATGGTGTTTACACTAACACCCTGTATATATAATAGTGTATGTAAATAGTTGATTTTTGAAATACACAGTTACTTGATTTATAATTTATATTAAGGTTACAATAACGTTTACATCAATTATTATAAAAAATAATTTATTTTATTTCGTTTTAAAAAGTACATGCCTTAAAAACATTTTTAGGATTATAGATAGTCGTAAACCTGACAAGTATGCCTAAAAAGCGTTCATTGGTTTTTTTACCGCTTTATTTTATTTTAGTCTAAAATGCGACGTATTACGAAATAATATGCTTATATAGCACGCGGTCTATCCAATGAGCGACATGTAATTTAACGTCCTACGAGATATAGCGTGCTACAAAACTTAAAGCGCTTATTGGCCTCTTACGCGCTTCCTTATAAATAGCGCGCTATAACGTAGCATATTTAATAGCGCGCTAGAAACTTAGAGTTTTTAGTCTGTAGCGTGCTATTGATTTATAGTCGTTGGAGTTTTGGCGCGAACTTGGCCATAGACGGATTGTCACTCCTGTTTTGTCGTTTGAATAAAGAAAAAAGTTTGAAGTGGATTTTGATTCGTAAAAATGATGCGATTTTGTGAATTAAGTGTCCGCACGTGTGAACTATTAGAGAAAACGACGAAACAAGTGCTTTGATGTCAATATAAACCTTAAGTTATTTTGATCGCTTGGGCGCCTTATAAACTTGAGTGGCTGTTGTCATTAACTGTCCGCTGGGTTGAGCTGTTGTCAAAATCTCCCAAGGGCTTCGCAATGTGATGCATCAGCATATTGTGGAGAAAAAATATTAAAATAAAGATTCAGAAAGAAATGTTAAGCTCAGAAGGGCTAGAACCCAGAGCCGAAAAGCCAGTTAATAAAAAAATATAGTCGTTTTGAAGAGTCAAAGAGTGTTGGCTTGGCTAGCTTGCTACATATTTTTTATCTTGGTGTTGGCAACACTAGTTTGCGGCTTGTGGCTTGGCGGCAAGAAGTCTAATTGTTTGGATTTATTTGTTTATTTTAACCAATTTAATTGTTTTTGTTTTAAAAGTTAAAACCGATCCAGTGTTTATTACTACTTGTTAATCATAGGTTTTTAAGTTAAGTGATAATGGGATCAAAAGTGAACGCATATTCATTTAGCGTGGTAAGTAATTTTCATGATGTAATGCATGTGTATTATTGTACTGTAAAGTTTTAATTTACATTAAAATATAATAAATAGCTTAAATATGCTACTACGGTAATATGATTTAAATTTTTCTGATAGTCCCTAATAACTAGATTACTTTGTCATAAGATTGGTTTTAAAATATCAATTAAATTTTAATTAACACTTGCTACTTTAGTTTTATTTGCGTTAATTTCTTGAGTCATTTCAGTGAGATTTGTTAAAACATTTTATTACAATTTTGACAAAAATTATGCTTTTATTAAATGAGGTACATACATGCCATTCATACATCTGAATCTCAGCTAATGCAAACATGTCTTTTATCTGAATATCCTAACCTTTTCGTACAGCCGCATAATAAGTGCAACACCTAACTCATAAGTGTCAAAAACTAATTTATACTTAGACCGATTTACACTTCGACAAGTACAGTAGCAAGTTTAGTTACAGGGCAGTTGAAAGTAAATGGTTAAGTAGGCAGTAGCATTCAAACAACGTCTTCGTGGCGAGTTTGGTATTTCTTTAGTAATCTGCCTCATGAATTTATGATCGCCGAGTGGGCTGGTAGAGGGGGGGGCGGGGTAGGAACCTCCCCCTAAAAGAATTAAATGCTGGAAACGCCTCCCCCCCTTTTTATTGAGTTTTTTTTGTAATCTGCCGCATGAATATATGGTCGCCGAGGGGGGGGGGTTGGGGTAGGAACCTCCCCCTAAAAGGGGGAAGTGCTGGAAACCCCCCTTTTTTGTAAAATCATAATCTCATTTTTTATACAGTAATATTGACACAGTTACTTCTGCAACGGCTTCGGCATTGCAGGAAGTGCAGCCCCTTTGCCCTTGTGTAGCAAATCACTGGCAACCATGCTCGCCACCGCAGCCTCTACGGCTCGCTTAGGTGTCTGCGATTTGCTACAGCGGGCGGGGGCTGCTCTCCCTCCGTGCCTACGGCTTTACAAAAACACTCTAGGGGTAGGACAGACAAGACTGCGTGGAGTCGGGGTGTGCTAATTCGGTTTTAGAACCGATTCAACCTATTTTATCTATAAAGTCTAGATGCTCTTAACTCTGCTACTAGAGTGGTAAATGAAATAATGTAATGTGAATTGTTATAATTTTGTTTTCTGATAAACCTCTTGACTACTCTCCACTGCAACTCAATTTGTTGTAGTAAGTCCCATCTCCAGCCACAAATGGATTGTCTGGGTCCAAGTGATTAACTTTTTTATGAGTGTATCTGTGTTAAAAAAACAAACTGACATATTTGCGTTTTGTTATATGTAATTTAAAGTGAAATTTATTTTTATCGTAAATAATTAATTTAAAAGGCTTTTCTGAAATCCAAAAACAGTGTAAATGGTTCGAGTTTAACCCTGACAATCATCCTAAATTGAAAACATAATTAAAAAATCAAGTATCGGAAATCTCCTTCATTATACGAGAAAAACTAATTACGATGAAAACAAATTTCACCAAAAATAGTGTAGTATGTCAAATATTACACTATTTTTGGTGAAATTTGTTTTTATCGTAATTAATTCAAAATGCATTTCCGACATCTAAAAACAGTGTAATAGGTTTAAGATTAACCCTAACAAGCCTCCTAGACTAAAAACATTATCAAAATCAAGTACCGGATGTCTAGCCAACTCGATATAACCTCAAAACTTTAACTAACGATATCTCGAAAAATAAAGATTTCCGGCATAAAAAGCAGCTAAATGGTAATCAATGGCATCATTGCCCGTCAACTAAAGCTAAAATAATCACTTAAATCGTGCAGCAGATTACTAAAGCCCACCCGCGAGTTTAGTTAAAGACATTAGTTCATAGAGTTCGTTTGAGTGTGACAGTTCACGACTACAGAAGCTTTCTTGTTTTTGTTTAAGATGGATCTAGGATTACGTCAAGAATTAAGTGATATAGTCAGAGAAATATTACTTTTCATGAGTGCAGCATCTTGAGCAGGTTTAATTTTATAATCTGAACTTCTACTATTGTATAAAGATTCGTGTTCTAAATACTCTTCTACGAATTTATACATGACATCTTTTTTTAGGGTTCCGTAATCAACTAGGAACCCTTATAGTTTCGCTATGTCTGTCTGTCCGTCTGTCCGTCCTCGCTTAATCTCTGTGACCGTTAGCGCTAGAAAACTGAAATTTGGTACCAATATGTGTATCAATCACGCCGACAAAGTGGTAAAATAAAAATTGAAAAAAAATGTTTTATTAGGGTAGTCCCCCTATTTGTAAAGTGGGAAGTGATTTTTTTTTTAATTTCAACCCTAACGTGTGATATATTGTTGGAAAGGTATTTAAAAATGAATAGGGGTTTACTAAAATCATTTTTTGATAATGTCAATAATTTCGGAAATAATCGCTCCAAAAGTAAAAAACAAAGTGTCCCCCCCCCCCCTCTAACTTTTGAACCATAAGTTTAGAAAATATGAAAAAAATCTGAAAAGTAGAACTTTATAAAGACTTTCTAGGAAAATCATTTTGAACTTGGATCGAAAGAACAGTACCCACTACCGGGAGCAGTTGCAGGAGCGCTGAGCGCTGCTGGAGCGCGGACATAATGGATACCCACCTTTAAACTCATAAGTGGGAACACTTATTGTGACGGACGGGAAACTACGGAACCCTACACTGAGTGTGGCCCGACACGCTCTTGGTCGGTTTTTTTATTTATTATTAATTGCACCATATTATCATTATTTAAATTCAATATAAAACATATAAATATTCAATAAACAGTACTGTACAAACTTTGTGGGGAGTTTAATTATAAAAGTACCATTATACATTTTATCACGCAAACATTGCATCCTGTCAACTTATGTACTGAACTAAACTTGCTCGTTCACACAAGCAGCCAGTTTAGTTGCGGGTGGCGGGAGGGCAGCACTTCGCACTTAACTCGCCCAAAAATAGCCCGGCTGGCTTTCCTGTTCAACCTAATTGTTAACTTGCATAATGCTGTTCAAACTAGATTTTCTACTTAACTCCCCAGGTTCGCAAGTTAACTTGCTACTGTACTTGTCGAAGTGTAAATTGGTCTATATATTTAGTAGTGTCCATTTAAAGTTGCAGTCTTTGTTATTTGTTTCATGATATTATTTATTTAATTGCATACTAATCGGATTTATATCACAGTTAAGCATATAATAGTAAAGTTACCCTTATATTTATTGAACAAATATATCAGGGTAAACTTCAGTTTTTTAGTTAGTCAGTTGATTGTTGTTATCCTTAAAACAGGAAAACAACAATTAATGTAATGTGGCTTAGCAGCAAAAATAGACAAAAAGGTTTTCTAGACTTTAAAACAGAAATTGACTCTACTAACTTGTTTAACTTTTTTTGCAATAACTTCTTCTAAAATATTTACATACTTCTTACCCTTAGGCTTTGAACATTCTTGATTGTTAGATTTATCAAAGTTCTACTGTAGAACTGATATTTACATCTTTACATAGATATGACATGTTTAACAAGTAGTCAGTTTCTTATCAAGCTGTCTATACTGTGTTTATCTTAAAATGAGCTGGATAAACCTGTCAATTGTTACTTCCCAAAAATTTGGCTATATCATCTTATTGTACATAAAAATGTTTGTGTAAATTGTTTGTTCATTTTTATTATAGAAATAAAAAATCTTTAATATTCAATTCTAATAAAAATTTTATATTTTGTCATAATTGGACAGGTTAGTTTTTTTTAAATTACAGTGGAATTCATTTTGTATGACTTTGTTTATAATAACCAACCATTTTATGTGATGCAGATGCAAAGTCAGGTTAGATTTTCATACAACTTTCGTGAAAATACATCTGTTTAGTAAGACTGATTTAAGCGTCCAACCTTGTTGAGTGAGTTAATTTACTTATTAATAGTCCAGTTAGAGTAACACATGTCTTTACTTTGTTTGCAAAAATACCTTCACACACTTGTCCCCTTCCTGACGCATGTTTGATTGCTCGCATAGTGTTTTGTCACCTTTTGGTGGGTCACTAACTTAATTACGAGCGCAAAAATATGTTGTGTAAAATGAAAATGTTCCTCATTTGGAGAAAAATGTGCATTTAATATAGTATTTAGATGAGGAGCCTAAGGAGCCTGTGGAGATTGTTAAGATGTTTAATTCACAGTGACTTTCAAGCTCTGAAAGCTGTAAAAGTGTTGAATGTGTTTGTACATGCTAATTTTGATAGACACTATGAAAAGTATTGTTACGCGCTCCAATGCCTCAAATCGGCGCACTAGCGCCATCTAGTCTCGAACCGAAGAACTAAACTTCTTGAAGTTTAAAACTCGAACTCTCGGTACCTTGCGCGTGTTTACTTGAACATTCTGGATATTTTGCTAATTTATATAAGTATGCGCTGCAAGATGCGATCGAAGTATTTATTGAATTTGGCGAGACAAGCGAAGCTTCGGAGCGGAATAAAGTGAATCAGTGTGATTAATTGTTAGTGTTTTAAGTTTTAATTTGTGTAAAGAAAATTAAAGTGTTAATTTAGGTAATTTTATCGGCAATTTTTATTGTCACGAACCTCAAGCTCGTAACAATTGGTGTCAGAAGTGGGATAAAATCATGCCGATTTTACCTAAGGAGGAAACGGAGGGTGTTCGTACCCGAAGTCAACGCCAGCATGAGACGGACCAAAGAAGATTTGGTGGTGCAACGCCGCAGACGTCGGAGGGCCAGCCGCCGGCAACGGAGGCCGGTTCGTCAGTAGCTCCTGCATCTGCAGCACCTGATTTAGGCGCCCTGATGGTGATGCTGCAGGAACAGGTCCGCCGGTTGGAAGAGCAGCTGCGGGGCGGACAGGCAGAACAGGCCCGCCGACAGGAGGAACAGATGCTTCTCATGAAGGACCTTCACGCTACCTTCGGGAAAGAGATAAGGGAGGTGAAGGATAAGGTTGCTCAACATGAAAACCGCCTGTCGGAAGCTGAAACCCGAATTTACCAAGTGAACAATCGGGTTGACAACGTAATGGCTGACATGAGGAAATCACTTGACGAACTCAAACTTGGGGAGGGAACTACAGCTCCCGTAGTAGCTACTACACCTTCGCTACGTGGGTTCAAGGTGCCACCATTCGACGGGACTTCTTCCTGGTCAGCCTACAAAATCCAGTTCGAGGCTGTTATGAAGGCGAACGGCTGGAATAAATGTCAGGCCATGACTGCTCTCACACTAGGCCTGCGCGACCAGGCTTTAACAGTTCTGGAAGCTCTCGGTGAGGAAGTGACTTATGAGCAACTCCTTGAGGCATTGGAGGCGAGATATGGCGACGCTCACCTGGAACACGTCTTTCGTGCGCAGCTTAAAGATCGTGTGCAGCGCATCAACGAAAACCTGCAGCAGTGGTCTCTAGAGGTGGAGAAGCTGGTACGGAAAGCATACCGGTCTGTACCTGCGCTCATTGAAGGGAACCTGGTGCAGACATTCATCGACGGCATCCGCGACCTGGAAGTCAGAGCTGCTGTGAGGCTCGGGCACCACGAGACGCTTAAGGACACCTTGGCCCATGCACTGGAAGTGGAAGCCGTGCGGCAGGATCATCGTTCCTATCGCGTCAGGGAGGTTGCAGCAGCTACAGTTCGCGACCGCAACAAAGGATACAGCCCTAGGTGCTATGGCTGTGGGGAAAAGGGCCATCTTCGATCCAGCTGTCCCTAAGCGAACCCTAGAAAGGGAAGGTGAACGATCCCAGGAAGGGTAGTGCGGCCAACAGCACCGCCCAGCAGCAGCAGGGAAACGAGTAAAAGCCAGAACTGCGGGGCGGGTGCTGGCTGATGTTAAAAGAGCCCCAAGGATCTCGATCTCACAAACCCATGATGGGAACAGTCTAATCATCAAGGGCGAGGTCAACGGAATGCCGTGTAAACTGACCATAGACACTGGAGCCTCTCGTACGGTTGTTAGTTCCCAACTTATAAGTCAGTTCCTTGGGGACTCCGCATACAACCGAGAACGCATTAATTTGGTAACAGCTACCGGTCAGCGTATACCCGTCCGTGGAGAGAAGGAGATGGAGTTGAAGCTAGGCAACGTGATCTACCTGCATAATGTCATCGTGGCTGATATAATGGACGACTGCATCCTAGGCCTAGACTTTATGAGGAATAATTGTTGTGAGATCGACGTTAAGCAAGGTGTTTTGAAATGTGGACAGGAGGAACTTTTTATGGAAGGTGCGTTACCAGGGAACGTGTACAGCATTAAGAAGACTGTTCTTCCGCCGAGATCGGAAACGATTGTTCCGGTTAGTCTTCCTCGAAACGCTGGGCAAGCTCACCGTTGTGTACTTGTGGAAAGGGTAAACAATGACCTTCCATGGAAAGTAGCTCGAACCTTGGTTAGGACCACTACATCTCAGGAGTACGTGTGCTGAACCTTTGCGACCAGGATCAACGATGTAACCTACCGGATACAGAAAGGCGCAAAAGGGACTCTTAAGATCGTCCATGTGGATTGCCTAGCGCGTTATTATGGGGCCGATAATGCTCGGGACGAGCATGTCTTAGGAGGGGCAGTGTTACGCGCTCCAATGCCTCAAATCGGCGCACTAGCCATCTAGTCTCGAACCGAAGAACTAAACTTCTTGAAGTTTAAAACTCGAACTCTCGGTACCTTGCGCGTGTTTACTTGAACATTCTGGATATTTTGCTAATTTATATAAGTAGGCGCTGCAAGATGCGATCGAAGATGTATTGAATTCGGCGAGACAAGCGAAGCTTCGGAGCGAAATAAAGTGAATCAGTGTGATTAATTGTTAGTGTTTTAAGTTTTAATTTGTGTAAAGAAAATTAAAGTGTTAATATAGGTAATTTTATCGGCAATTTTTATTGTCACGAACCTCAAGCTCGTAACAGTATTATCTCATCTTCACAATGCTGTATGTAGTTCTTACTATCAAACAAAAACCAATTAAAAATCAAACTAAAATAACAGACTCTTATGCAAATAAAATTCACATTTTAATAATACATACATTTGCATTGTGTTGTCTTCATACATTTCTATTGCAAGGTATTTAGACCTTGAGTTGAGTTTGTGATAGCTATACGAGGGTGAAACTGAAAGTTCTTAGAAAATAAAAACTGAACAAACCAGCATGTTATTAGTTTCATAATATCTTTTCAAAATTGTGTCCATTTACATCAATACACCACTGCATCCAATGGAACCACTGAGAAAAGCACTTTGCCCACTCGTCCTTATGGGTCTCTTAGACGGCATTTTGAAAAGCAGCCATTGCTTCCTCGGCGTCCATAAAATGTTTTACTCAAAGTTTTTCTATATGACGGGCTATAGGACGGGTGACCCAGTAATTCCACGTCTGACGTCACCAAGTAGTCGATTGTTTGGTTCACGGTATGCGACGAGGCGTTGTCGTGGTGAAGGAGGATTCTACTGCGAGGTCGTTTCTCACGAACTTTTTCCAAGACAAGTGGCAAACAATTGTTAGTGTACCACTCTGCAATAACTGTTTTTCGATCCTCTAAAACAATTGTTGCATAATGACTTGTCCTTCCGAAGAACGAGCCCACCATCTTTTTTCGCACGCTTCGACCTCTCTTCACTTTAGTTGGCAACTTCTCGGAAGGACGTCAGACTGTCGCTTATTTTCAGGACCATAACAATAAATCCAGCTTTCATCACGCGTAAGTATGTCGAACACAGCATTTGAGTCACCTCCATTAAATCTTTGAACCATTTCACTACACCAATCAACACGACGAAGTTTTTGGGCCTCTGTCAAATTATGAGGTATCCACCGGGCAAAAAACCTTCCTGACCGCTAAATTTTCATGGAGCATTTTGTGCACTAGACTCATAACGATGCCTTGTCTGAATCTTTTTTTTATATAGAAGAGGGGACAAACGAGCATGCGGCTCACCTGATGTTAAGTGACTACCGCCGCCCATGATCAAACACAACACTTTTAGAAAGGAGTAAGCTCTTTTCTTGAAGGTCCCCAGGTCGTATCGGTCCGGAAAAATCGCCGCTGGTAAACTATTCCACAGAGAGGTTGTACGCGGAAGAAAACTCCTTTTGAAACGTACAGTGGTGGACCGCCAAGCATGCAGATGGTGTGGATGGTATCGGGACGTTTTCGATTCGTGCGTTCACGAAATTTGGCGGCTGGGATTAATCCGAACAATTTCTCGGAGCACTCCTCATGGTATAAGCGAAAGAAAATGCAAAGAGATGCAACATCTCGTTCGATTTGATTGATATCGTTTATAAGTGGACAGTTCTATAAACTTTCAGTGTCGCCCTCGTACATAATATATAACTATGTATTAAAAAGCAGCATGCATCGTTTATTAAAAATAAAATTATGCAATTCATTTAAGTTTTTTTGTCACTGTTATTCTTTTATTACGTGCATATTAATTATGTAATCAAAATCATATTATATATTAAGTATATACATGAAATACGATTTTTTAAATAACCTGTCCGTTTAGTGAGTCATCGGGCTAGTGACGGTCCCTTGACGGTTGCGAATTCTACTGTCTCAAGTGTATACTTAACTTACGGCAATCATTTATTTTGTCGTCATATTTTAATTATTTTTAAAATTTTATACTCTTTTATTTGGTCATTTTGTATTTCATCAACCAAAGAATCAATTTGGTCGATGAATCTTTAACTTAATTTTTTAATTAGTTTTAATTGCAAATTCCACTAGGGAAAGGTCACCCCCCTAGCAATCCCCTCCCACTCCAAGGATGCGCCTTTTCACTAGCAACAAGATTCTATTAGTAGGAGTTAAGCCATTTTATCCTCGGGGATGACAACGCATCTGCATTTTGATTTTTATCAAGCATAGATGTAATAATTATATTAATGTCCTCACTTACCGTGAGACGGACTGTGTGCTTGTTTGTTAATTTTAGTAAATGAGTTTTTCTATCTGTGAGCCCCTAAGGCATATATTATGTTATTAAAACATGCCAAAAATATTTTAATGTTTTAATGCTTTTGCATTGAAAATTTATCTGTAAAACAAACGGTAAAGGCTTTTTTGTATGGGACATTGGCGTTATGCGCACTCCCTATTCCTTCACTCTCATAGTCCAATGGGACGGTAAACCGACACGACCGGAAAGATATCAGGCGTAGTACCAACGGCTTTACGTGCTTTCCGCGGCACGGGGGCTTGGCCCAACCCGGGATACAAACCCAGGACCTCATGATCAGCAGTCGCACTACTGCAACCACTAGACGAAAGAGGCAGGCAGATTATAAATTAATATGTACTCATATATAAAACGAGATATCTATGAATCCCATATATCATAATATCTTCACTGAAGTGTAATAATGACGCCAAATATTTTGTGTGTGTGTTTTTTTTTTAGGAAAAGACGAAAATACCTTGGTACAAATATGTGACAGTGGAACCTGTGATGTTTTTCTATATGCTGGCATTTATGATTACTAATGTGATAGAGCAAACCTACTACGTGTTTAAGGCATGCACTATAAACCACGGATACAGCGAGGAGATATGCCACAATATTAGCAGCTACAAGGAAATTAATAATGAAGTACAGGTGAAAAACTTGTATACTACATAACGGATAACGTAGATGTCGTGTGCGGCGTATAAGGAAAATGAAACAGAGGATAGGCTGCAGCATGTTCCTCATCATAACTGAAATTAATAAAAGAACTGCAGCTGCCAAGCCGCCTGCCTAGCGACTACCGGTAGAGGAACCTATACCACGACCTTCAATTGCTAAAAAACAATGTCCGCAGCGCTTAAAAACTAAAACTAAAATAATTCGACTTAACAATAATTTTATAAATACCAATGTATCACGCTCAGTAGATGTTATCGATTCAAACATATAATATGTAAATTTCTTATTGCAACACTAAAACATGTTAAGTAGTGTACACTGAATTTAATGTACCATCTAAAACATAATACCTATATGTGCTTTGTGTTCAATTCAAATTCTCATCTGAACTTTTCATCGAGAGTAATGATTTTTTGTGGCTTTTAAGAAAAAAATATGAATAGTGTATGTCAAACGATTTAGAGTCGATATTATAGTTTGCCGTCGAGATATAAAAGACAAAAAATATAATTTATGTGCGGATGCATGAACATACATTATATTTAACTTACATTATATACAGGTCTCCTATTAATAGTATTATAACGATACCGTACATCTCCTGCCTGCCTAACCACTTCTTAGTTCAATATGATTATAAAATAAAGTCAAATATATAATCACTTATGATCGTTCAAATGTTATAAATAATAATTTTATTTTGAATAATGTTTGTATTCCAGTTAGATTTTTTATTACAACAGTCCACTGATGGTAAATGGCTAATGCAGACTTTCCTCCAACTTCATTTAAAGAAGACTACATATGCGTTATTACATCGGAGGACTAAATTACCTTTGCATCCTACGTGAGAGTGATCTTTTACCGGTCAAACCGATCCATTCGTGCTACAGCCATATTCAGTGTAGTGTAACTCTACCATGTACATTAATGAAGAACGAACATGCTTGAAGAGATGGGGGGAGGTTGATTGATTCTCTTTCCCTTCATCACATATCGAAATCCTTAATTTTTTTTTTATTGAAACAGAAACTTTTTTATTCAACATAGATTATAAATAATACTTATTAAAAGTAACTTTTTTTAACTTAACACTGGTTCAGAAAAAAACCTCTGTCCTGGGACGGACCATCAAGAAACCCAGCGGGTCTATTAAACATTCACAAGATTCGTAATGCCTATCAAAGGTTAACGCCTGAACCATTATTTACAAATAAATATGTATTAAAATTTAAACCATTTTTTGAATGATGATCTTGAACATTAATCAAAAGTCTAAAATGTTTAAATTTACTCAGTCTGTCAACACAGCGAATCGGGTTTGTAGTAGTGATAATACGACGTAATTGCTTATATGTGTGCTCCCGGCGACGCCGACCCTCGTACAAAATAAGGTTGACAGCCATTCTATTGTGTATTATAGTATTTTATGCTTCACACTGACTGATAGCTACTTGCAGAATACAGCATTCTTCCCATATAACTTTATTTATAGGGAAGTTCTACCTTCTGCAGTAGCAGAGCAGGCAGTAGGGGAGCAGATGGAATTGTAAAGATGGCAGTTATAAAAAACTTAATAAATATCTTGGACAAATTATAAGAATATAAGTTAAATATTTGTTGGTTTGTAGAAATGCCCAGTTATTATACCCAAAACATCGTAAATAAGTGCTGTTATCAATATATATCTATCTCAAAACTTCTGATTGTAAGCCTGGCATATGACGCATTGGCGACTTTTGAAGAGAGCGAAATTGCCGAGATTACGAGTGCTTTGTAACACTGACGGTTGCCCATGTAGTTGTTTGACGTTATATTGTCATAGTATAGCTAACACAGAAAATACATCAAGTGCAGGTGGGGTTGTTGTGGGTTATTCCGTTTATTCACCCTAAAGAACCCACCCTAGGGTGGATAATCGGAATTCATATATATTATTTTTCTTCCGATTTTCTCCCTCGGCTGTGTACAGTTATTTACAGAAACATGATAAAAACTGGCTCAAGATACTTAGTAGACATTACCTATAAAAATATATACATACTTCTTGTTAGAAAGGTCAACGCTGAAATAAAAGGAGTACCTCACAGCTTGATTGCAATCTTGGAATAAAACCATTTAAAAATAAATATAATATAATAAAGTTAAAGACAAACTTCCATCGTAACGTTTTTAGAATGCTTGCAAAATACGCCCAGTTCTTCGGTAACACATCTGTGAGAAAAGAAATTTAAAAACGATTGCAAATGTACATTAAAAGTGACGAATTTATGCAGGATATCAAATTACGTCTACTCAATAATGTAGTGAGTGTTGGTAATTGCCTGGACATGTTGCAGACTACATAAATTACATTATTAACGCAATAATATTATTTAAAAAGAGGAAGTTAAATTTGATTTTAATGCAATACGTAATGCGTGGACTTTAATAGGTTGTAACGGTGACGGTAACTGTAACGGCAATACGTAATAAGCTTTTTTATAAAGTTTGTGGTTATTAAAAATTAATAATTAATGTGTATGTGTTTAACTGTACTTGGAGTAAACAGTCGGATGAACAAATGAAAGTGAATTATGATTATCTAATATAGGGTGGATAAACGAAATAAACCGTTGTTGTCAAGCACTGGCTATATATAGTAAAGAAAGAATGACGGGCAAATTTTCACGACATGTTTGGCTAACCCAGGCTTTGATCAGACGATTCCCATGGTACTAAATATTATGAAGCATTCTCTTACAGCGGAAAATTATGGCGAAATAAGCCTTACATTATTTGCCATAACTTTTTAAACGGTACACAATGTTTGCATTTTCAGGTGACAGTTTCAACGTTTCATCAGTGGAACGGCATCGCGAGCCACATAGTGCCTCTGTTGCTGGCGTTCTTTATTGGCTCCTACAGCGACAAGCGTGGACGGAAAGCCATTCTACTTGCCGGACTATTGGGCAAACTTTATTTCTCCATTGTTATTACCCTGAATACTATAAAAGGTAATTAAAAAAATAAAATTGTTTCTTAGTTTAAATTCAATAAGAGAGATAATTATGTAATATTAAGTATAAATGTATGTATTAACGAAAACAAATTGTTGTGATCGCGATTTATACAGTTGTATAGCTATGCGAAACATGTTTCATTTACGCATCCTACTAATAAATATATTATACTAGCTGGCCACGCAGACTTTGTTCTGTCCTATCCGACGACAAGTCCTATAAAAAATCCTTAAATTCGCAATTAAAATATTGAGTGTCACTAATCGCGATAAAAACTATTCTATCTCTCAAGTTGGCCATACTGCAAACAGTCGGCAAAATTTAATTGCAATCCGTTCAATAGTTTGGGAGTTCATCGCGGACAAACAATGTGACACGTAATTTTTATATATAACATCTCCTATTGAAATCCTTATATTCGCGAAAAAAACTTGTGAGTCACTCATGGGAAAAAAAACTATCCTATCTCCCTAGTTGAACCAAACTGCACACGGTGTGCAAATTTGATTAAAATCGGTTAAGTAGTTTAGGAGTCCATTGCGGACAAACAACGTTACACGTAATTTATATATATTAAGAAGAAGATATATAAAGATTATAGGACCCAAATTTTTACTATAGTACTATATTTTCACGTATATGTTTTAAATAGCACACGCTAGACACGCCTGCTATAAGCGGCAAAGCAGCGCTTTTTTGCAACCTTTTCACGCGTCACGCCGATCGCTCGTTTGCTTTAAAATTGACATAATTTTTATAGTTATAAATGTCGATCGATTTAAATGAACCACAGTTTTTATAGAATAAAGAACAAACAAGTACACAGTCCACCTGATGGTATGATGGATGGTGGATGCCGTGGCCCATCGACATTCTACATCTATCCTCAGTTAAGAATCAAAATGCAATGCGTTGTCACCCCTTAAGAATTAAGATGGAATGTCTCGTGGAACACTACGAAAAAAGCAGTCTTAAGCGGGGCTATATTACGCATGTGTTCTGTGTGAGCGTGATCTTACCGATCCCTTATAAAACTGTACAGCTAGGTTCTATTACGTATAGATATTATAATAATGTATTATATATGTATAATATAGGTGTATAATATATAATAAAGTAAGCCTAAGCTTATTGGAATACATGATCGAAAACCACATCAAATAGTTAAACGATTAAAAAAAAGCTTACGAATTTATTATATTATGTGTTATCTTACTTTAGCAGCGGTCTAAAATGTTTTCGTTCTTAGATGTTATCTAGTAAGTGAACATGCTACTATCGTCTCAAACGTATTGATAAATAACATGACCTTTATTTTGATGGTTCTCGTTTTAGTCAGTAATAATTATGATTCTATGTAATTCCACTGCAGAGCGAAATTTAATCAAGACATGCCTTATATCTGTTATTAGAAATTAACCGCCGCGATCAAAATTGTCCTAGGATCGCAAATTTAAATATTTCATTATGTCATGTGAATGTAAACCTATTGAATTACGGCATTGAATAGTCGACACTCATACAATCTATAGCAGGAAATACTTATCATTTTTTTCCTCTTTATCTTGTAAAGGCTCGATTTATGTGAGATACTACTATACACGGTTTTCGCCAGATGATTGCATTTTTGCGGTTTTTTTTTTAATTGTTAACTAATGACATACAAGCTTACATTTCACCCGATTAAACGTCCTTATATATTCTTCCTTCATCAAGAATTAAATTGTACACATGTCGTCATCTGTAACGAATGACATACAATGCCTTTTTCTTGTAGAAGAGGGGGCAAACGAGCATGCGGCTCACCTGATGTTAAGTGACTACCGCTGCCCATGATAAAACCCTCGTTGCTTGTAAATAAGTTTCAAAGATGAAACGGATTCCTAAGAAGGAAACGGCAGAGATATTCATTTACTTGAACTACTTTTCCTTCCACTGCGCCAATGAGCCGTCTTCCCAGACGGCTCATTGGCGCAGTGGCTTAGCAATGAGTTGCACCGCTAAGTGTAGCGGGTTCGAATTCCGTACGGAAAAAGTATTTGTTTGGCCTACAAATAATTGTTCTGAGTGTGGATGTTTGTCCTTGTGAAATTTATGTATGTAAAATGCTGGGGGCATTACAAGAGTAAAACCAAGTGGTACCTTAAGGTAACGTTTAAAAAAAAAAGATCACAACAATTAGAGTTTTTAAGACAAGAGCGGATAGATATTTTCTAGGCTTACGTGTTTACCATCTAGAACACCACTTAACATCAGTTGGAATTTTAGTCAAACGACTATCCTAACCAAGTTTAAAAACCTAACCTTTTTAATAGAATTCCAATACCTGCTTTGTCTTAGAAAACTTATTCGTTATATTTTTGCGCATAATTTTTATACTACTTACTATAATTTATAATTGAACACTGAAGTACTAATATTTAAAGCGAATGTTCTGTTGGCTATTACAATTTAAAATGTATTTAATCCAATAATTATGATGGTGTTATCCTGCGAAATATGTTTTGGTTCCAAAAACGTACAGTTTTAAAACAGATGTTGGTTTCAATTGGGAATTGCACCACGAGACTATATGTTTATCTTACATATTATCTGGAAATTCAATGTTAAAATATCGATAACAAAGAATATAAAAATCTCTTCTTTATTTTTAACTTTCTTGTCGCTTCTTCTCACAAGGTCTCCAAGCAATAGGGTCTTGTTGGACTATGGCGTAGCTTTTTGACTTTCAAAACGTGCTCGGCAAAGGCGAATTTTGAAAAAAATATTTTAACTGACATAGTATTGCTAAACCATTTTTGTGTATATTGACGGGATTTTATGCATATGTGAGTTTATTTTTTTTATAGTAAGGATGACAAACGAGCACAGCCCACCTGGTGATAAATGTAGATAACTATGGCCCATAGACATCTAAATTTATCCTCAATAAATAATCAAAATGCAGATGCGTCGTCATCCCTGAGGGCTAAGGTGAGATGCCTCGTTTCCAGTAATAAGGGTCTCCGGTTCTCTACACTCACCATACGAAACACAGCAGCATTAGACAGTTATATCACGCTGGTATTCTGTGAGAGCGTGGTCCTTCCTCAGTCGAGCCGACCCATTCGTGCCTCAACCATAATATAGCTGCAGCGTGGCCCTACCACGTATAAATTTGAAGCTGCATAAATATACGATTAAATTAAACTACAAAGAAGCACGATGAGTGAGGCATTTACATCAAGTAGTTCGTTATGTTGGGCTTAAAAAGACAATAACGACTTAAAAACTTGTCTTTAAATATCTAAATGCCACAAATCTATATGGAGAAATATAAACCTTAATCTATCTTTAGGCTCTGCTCTTGAAAAACCGCCTGCTGAGCGTGATTAATACGTTCTAAAAAAGCCAATAACTACCAGTGGATTATAGTGATAAAATAAAGAAGATTCGTCTTCCTACGGACGCGAGCGCGAGAATTAAAAATGTAATGGTTCGGTTCGGTGGTTTGGTCATGTAGAAAGAATGAACGAAGAAAGAGTGACAAAGCAAATTTATGTTGCAGATGTGAACGGCAGAGTCGGAAAGGGACGCCCTAGACGAATGTTTATCAACCAAATTTCATCAATTATTATAAAACACCATTAATTTTTTTCGTGGTAGAGCCATGCTGCAGTTATATTAGAAGTATAGTTGTAGCACGAATGGGTCAGGGTTTTAATGCCTGCTTTTAACCATACCATTATTAAAATGGTTAGATTTTAGACATAAACATCTGTTCTTATGAATGTATTAGGCGACAGATAAATTTGTAGTTTTGTACGTGGTAGATCCATGCTGCAGCTATGTTATGGTTGTAGCACGAATGGGTCGGCTCGACCGGTGTAGGACCACACTCACAGAATATCAGCGTAAAATAGTAGCTTAATTCTGCTGTGTTTCGTATGGTGAGTGTAGAGAACCAGAGACCCCTTTTACTGGAAACGAGTCGTTCCATCTTAGTCCTCACGGGTGACAACGCATCTGCATTTTGATTCGTAGTCGAAGATAGATGTAGATGTCCGTGGGCCACTGCAACCACTTATCATCAGGTGGACTGTGTGCTAGTTTGTCACCCTATCCTTAAAAAAATTTTTAGCTATATTTTGAATATTACATTAGGAGCACCCTTAACCGACGAGCGTGTATGCGTAAATATATGAATGTAAAGAAGGCGAGAGAGGTGTGTCAAAATCGTGGCAATGGAAGTCTGTAGTCTCTGCCTTCCCCTCTGGGTGACAGGCGTGAGTGTGTATGTATGTATGTATGGATTCATCTTGCTCTAGTGCTCAACATGTGACATACAAGTATTCTACTTTTTACCAGACTGCTGCAGTCTGCTGAAGCAAGGTCATCATTTTCGAATGTGTGTATGCATACCCATTTCTTTGAAACGCACCGTAGCATAAACAATGAATTTGAACATTGATGTGTCAGCTTTGCGTTAGTTAATATGCGCTCTGCTGTTAAGCTAATATGGCTCAATTTAAAGTGCCCGTGATATGAATATGAAAATAGTGAACGGCGATGGTTTTTTTTTTAATTTCTGCTAAACTATATCTGCTAAACGTGTCAAAATCAAATCAGTTTCATTAATACTCTTGTGTCAATTTAGAGTCGCGACAATGTGTCAGCAAGTTCAGAAAGATAAAGACGATGCAATCACAATGTATGTCGAAACCCACTCCCCATAATTAAAAAAAAAACTACACCTAGACATATATACTTATTATTTTGTATACCCAATAAGGACCTCTTAGACAAATTGAATCCCAAACAAGAATGTTATACATTCCTAATCATCTTATTGATTTAAGCAAATGCTATGGAGCTTGGCGCCGGTTCCAATCTCAACACTTTTATCCGCGAAACCGACAATCCTGAGCGACATTTGTACTAAACTTGTTCTCTTTTTTACATATATTATATTACCTTTTACAATTGCCAATTTTTAATAATTACCAAAACCAACCTTAATATTCAATATATAGTTTTAACAAAGTAAACTCTTGTTATAATATTTATAAATCAATTTCATTTGTTGTTAATTTTTGGTTGATATCCGTTTTTCTTAAAAGTCTGAACTAAAACAAGTAAATAAAAAAATATTGACTTTATCGTTTCAGCATGGCCTGTGGAGTACGTAATATACACAGCGGCATTCCCCAGTGCCTTAACCGGAGCAGATTTATCGATATTTGCAGGGTGTTTCGCTTACATATCCGACATCTCCTCGCTAAAAAACAGGACACTGAGGGTGGGCATTCTCGATATTGTTTACCTCAGTACTATGCCCACTGGTGTAGCGATCGGTGAGTACAATCTATCATATGAATGTGTTGTGTTTATGCCTTAATATTTTCTTTTTTTAGAAATATTATTTTCCTTACTTATTCGCGCATTGTCACTTATCGTTAGATCAGCTTTTTAAATAGACTGTGTGACAAACAAGCACACAGTCCACCGGATGGTAGGTGGATGTTGTATCCCATAGACTAAATCAAAGAGGTGTGTTGTCTCCCTTGAGGACTAAGATGGAATGCCTCCTTTCCAGTAAAAAGGGTCACAGGTTCTCTACACCATCTATACGAAACACAGCAGCACCAAGCTGTGACGGTGCAGTCCTTCCCCATCAGTAAACAGTAACACAGCTGAAGTGTGGTCTTACTACATGTAAATGCAATATATTGTACTGGTATTGCAAATTACACATACCTAAGTTATATAGAGGCTTGACTTCGTCCTTGAAAATTGTATACAACTTTTAATTGAACATCTGTCTTGTTATATGTAAAAATTTATAGTATAGTATGGAAATCCGCATATCATATTAAAAAAGGGTCTCCGGATCTCTACATTCACCATACGAAACACAGCAGCTCTTAATAAAGAGGATACCTTGAAAATGAATCGAAGTTTTGGGGGCGTGGCTTATTCCTTTGTCGGTGAAGCTAACGGACGAAAGCGGGAGTGTCAAAATGAAAGTGATGCAATGACTTCATAGTACGCAAATAATAAGATAGCCATACCGAGCAAGCGCTCGGAAAAAAACTACGTAAGCGCCAAAAAACATTTTTTTTATTTTAACAAAAATTCGTTATGGGCTAAAAAACTGGTTTTGGGACCTTAGATATGATTATTTACTATGCCTTAAAAGTAATCCCGTGAACTTATTCGTAAGAATATTGTGGTGTCATCGAGAAATGTAAATAATTAGAGCCTACTTTGCAATTTTTTTCTATAGAGAAAATTACATGATATCGTGTTTTCCTTTTATAAAATCCAAGGTCATATAGTCAAAAATCATATACCAAAATTTTGGTTTGTAATCTATAAAACTTAAAAAATATGTTAAATAGAAAAACCACCAAATTTTGAGGTATCACCTTAAGCTGCTATTTTACGCTGGTATTCTGTGAGAGCGTTGTCCTTCCCCGGTCTAGCCGACCCATTCGTGCTACAACTACAGCATAGCTGCAGCATGGATCTACCACGTACAAAACTACAAATTTATCTGTCTCCTAATACATTCATAAGAACAGATGTTTACGTCTAAAAACTAACCATTTTAATAATGGTACAGTTAAAAGAAGGCATTAAAACCCTATCAAGAATAAATATGTTATTTAATGATCTTTTATTTTTTTAAATTGGAGAAAAAGTTCCACTTGTAAGGATAGAAAAATAGTGTCAATTTGGACAACATTATAGTTGTTACCTGTTATAAGCTCAAAATTGCTGATCATGAGGTTCTGGGTTCGAAACTCCCATATGGCCAAAAAAATCAATAATTATTGAGTTTTTCTGTCAAGAAATTCTCAGTAGCTGCCCGGAGTCAGGAAGTTGGCGGTGTCTCACCCCCGTGCTTCGGAAAGCACGTAAAGCCGTTGGTCCTGCGCCTGATCTCTCTCCGGTCGTGTCGGTTTACCATCGCATCGGGCTATGACAGTGAGGGAATAGAGAGTGCACCTGTGCTTGCGCATACACTTGGGCACTATTGTGGCACAGGTGATGTGTATTAAACAAATTTTAATGTTAATACAGTGTAATATAAAGTAAATTAATTTCATAAAATCACAATTCTAAATTATAATAAATATTTTTTGTATAAATTCAACAACTTAATGTAAAATTAATTAATCACTTAAGAAATCCTACTTACTAACTTTTCCGCATGAATCGACCGATTTGTTGTTAACAATATTTTTGTATCGAAGTACTTGTGCCTGCTTTACCGGTCAAGTTAGTCAGTAGTAATTATATGCATTCGCTGCGGGAGCTCGTGCCACGCTCACCCTTTTTACTCCGCGAAATATAGTGATTAAAAATAATAAATAGTATATAATAATAGAAATAGTAAGTAATATCGAATTGTAAGTGTTGTGTAAGTAAATAAATAAACTTGTGTGCAGGAATAAACTATTAGAGTGTCTGTTTTATTGGAGTCAGGCTAATATACCTGGTCAGGCTAATAATACCTGTAAGTACAACAACGCCTCGTTATACTGGTGACCCCGACGTGATCTGAACACGCAACCAAAAACAACCTTCAGAAACTTCAAGCTTCATCAAATACCTCACCCATTCGCTCCCGAGCAGATATCGTCTGCAGTCTTCATATCCTGCAAGTCATCCAGCTTCACAAGGTTCATCGCAGCACTGGAATAATAATGCTTCCTGTTCCTTCAAGCTACTCTCTGCGCCATACAGTGTTCGGCACGGCTCTGAGCCTTACTGCTCGCCTCTGCTTCACGGCACTCTCGCAGATTACTTGCCTTCTTCTCGACTCACCGCAGACTACAAGGCAATCTCCTGGCAATTGCACGTCGACAACGAGGCTGCACTATCGACCTGCGGTCTGAGCAGGGGGTGATGTGGCGGCGCTGTCGTCGCGCCGCAAGCGAAAGACAACGAATCCTAAATCACGCTATCAAAATTCCGAATCATAAACAGTATATATAGAACATCTCCGAACTATCACACCGAGTGTTGGCCGCTCCCCGGGCAGAACACCTTGCCCGGCGGGAGATCTCCCCTTTTTCTTCCACGGCTACAGTGGTGACCCCGACGTGACGCTCAGACAACGTATATGTTGGTACCACAGAAAGTTCGGTGTTAATTCAACGAAATGCACAACACCTTGTAATTTTAAGTCGGGAAAAGACCAGGGCAGCCATTAGTGCTACACCTAGTACGTAAAAAAGACGATGGCTGGAGGCCGTGTGGTGATTATCGAGCTTTAAATGCACGAACCATCCCGGATCGCTACACACTCAGAAACATACAAGACTTTGCTCATCAGCTTGCTGGTTGTAATATATACCGCAAATTAGATTTAGTGAAGGCTTACAACCAGATCCCTGTAGTTGAGAGTGATATCGAAAAGACAGCGATCACGACTCCGTTTGGGTTGTTCGAGTTCCCATTCATGATGTTTGGCCTCCGGAATGCAGCCCAGACATTTCAAAGATTCATAGATGAGGTACTCCAAGGACTAGATTTCACATTTGGATATCTTGACGACATATTAATATATATAACATACCGAAGAAGAGCATATGGAACACCTTAAGACACTTTTTCGACGACTTGAAAAGTACGGAGTACTCATAAATACTTCTAAAAGTATATTAGGTGTCAAGGAAGTAGACTTTTTGGGTTACCACATTTCAGCGCAGGGAACTCGTCCAATGGAGACGAAAGTGGCAGCGATCAAAGACTTCCCTTTACCAAAAACAGCTAAAGAACTCCGAAGATTCCTCGGTATGCTGAACTATTACCGTAGGTGTTTGAAGGATGCAGCAAGTACACAAGCTCCACTTCTTGATGCATTATTTGGCAAAAATATTAAAGGATCCAAACCGGTAGTCATGAGCCGCGAGATGCTTAAGGCATTCGAAGATTGTAAATCCTCGCTGTCTGATGCCACCATGTTAGCACATCCAAATCCTCACGCAGAATTATCACTATACACTGACGCATCTGATAAAGCCATAGGAGCCGTTCTACAGCAAAAAGTGAGAAACTGCTGGGAACCCCTAGCGTTTTTCTCCAGAAAACTTACGTCAGCACAGAACAAATACAGTGCATATGACAGAGAATTATTGGCAATATACAAAGCTATCAAACACTTTCGTTTTATGGTCGAAGCCAGGCATTTTACGGTGTACACCGACCACAAACCAATTACCTTTGCGTTTGTCACAAAAAGAGACAATTGTTCTCCACACCAACACCGATACTTAAGCTTCATATCTCAATTTACCACGGATATCAAACATGTGTCAGGCTGTGATAACACTGTTGCTGATGCGTGGTCACGTTGAATAAAACTAAATTTACGGATTTTATCGCGTTTATTTCACTACTTTTACTTATTTTTAATTCCCGACGTTTCGGGTGCTTTACAGCAACCATGGTCACGGGGGGGACTGAGATGTTTGACGTCCCAATGTCATAGTTAGTCCGGCTACCTTCAGTTTTTGAATATTAATTTTTGGTCCGATTTACGCAAAACGAGCTTCACACTGCAAGACTTCATGATACTATAAGCTCGTTTTGCGTAAATCGGACCAAAAATTAATATTCAAATAACGGAAGGTAGCCAGACTAACTATGACATTGGGACGTCAAACATCTCAGTCCCCCCCCGTGACCATGGTTGCTGTAAAGCACCCGAAACGTCGGGAATTAAAAATAAGTAAAAGTAGTGAAATAAACGCGATAAAATCCGTAAATTTAGTTTTATTCAATGTGTAGTGTTCGCGTAAATTTAAGAAATCATTTTGCGTTGTCACGTGTTGAGACTATCTCTGAAACCCTTAACTATGAAGATCTTGCAAACGATCAGAACTCAGACCCTGAACTGCAGGATTTAATCAATAAGGGAACAGCGCTTCGATTAGAAAAGATTAAGTCACCCGAAGCTACGATATATTGTGATATCTCAACACACACTCCGAGGCCATATATTACTCCAAGATTCAGAAGACAAGTTTTCTCCCAAATGCACAATCTTAGTCATCCCGGAGCTTCAGCCACAGCAAAGCTCATCTCCGAAAGATTCGTGTGGCCCGGTGTTCGTCGAGACTGCAAAGAATGGACAAAGCAGTGCACAGATTGCCAACGCAGCAAAATCAACCGCCATACCTCTTCATCTTACTCCACTTTCCCTACTCCATCACAACGTTTCTCTCATATCCACATGGATATAGTAGGGCCATTACCGCTTTCATCTCATTACAGGTACTGCCTCACCGTCATCACAGATATACGCGATGGCCTGAGGCCTACCCATTAGAAGAAATCACGGCGGAAACATGCGCCAAAACCTTAATCAGCGGTTGGGTAGCCCGTTTCGGATGCCCACAGAAGATCACCACAGACCGGAGACGGCAGTTCGACTCAAAATTATTCCAGGCCGTCGCAGCTCTCATCGGTGCCAGGTTGTCTACAACCACTTCATACCACCCACAAAGCAACGGTATGGTAGAAAGACTACATTGTCAGCTAAAAACTGCAATCAGGTGCCACAATAACCCGCAGTGGACAGAAATCCTTCCACTTGTGCTTCTAGGTATAAGAAGCGCCTGGAAAGAGGACCTCAAAACATCAGCTGCAGAATTGGTATACGGAGAACCTTTACGGTTACCAGGAGAATTCTTCGTTCCCTCTCCAGACTTCACCGCCGACATCAAGGATTTCGCATCTCGCCTTCGACGTCACATGGCTAATTTAAGACCTCGCCCAGCTACATGGCACGGAACTAAAACCTTCTACATCCCTAAAGATCTTCAGACGGCTGAATACGTTTTCTTACGTCAGGGTCCAGCTATACCATCATTGGAACCTCCTTATTCAGGACCATATAAAGTCCTGGAAAGGGGTCTTAAGACCTTCAAATTGATGATCAAAGGTATGGAAAGTACGGTTACTATAGACCGACTCAAGCCTGCATACCTTTACAGCAGTGGATCATCTCTTTATCCAGAGGAAATAACACCTACAGAAAAGGAAACCCAAGCTCCCACAACTGGTCAAAGTGAGAATACTCTAAAAAAAACACTAAGCGGAAGAGTAGTGCGATTTCCAGACTATTATCGCCCGTGAAACGGTCTCGGCAGGGGAGTGATGTGGCACAGGTGATGTGTATTAAATAAATTTTAATGTTAATACAGTATAATATAAAGTAAATTAATTTCATAAAATCAAAATTCTAAATTATAATAAATTTTTTTTGTATAAATTCAACAACTTAATGTAAAATTAATTAATCACTTAAGAAATCCTACTTACTAACTTTTCCGCATGAATCGACCGATTTGTTGTTAACAATATTTTTGTATCGAAGTACTTGTGCCTGCTTTACCGGTCAAGTTAGTCAGTAGTAATTATATGCATTCGCTGCGGGAGCTCGTGCCACGCTCACCCTTTTTACTCCGCGAAATATAAGTGATTAAAAATAATAAATAGTATATAATAATAGAATTATAGTAAGTAATATCGAATTGTAAGTGTTGTGTAAGTAAATAAATAAACTTGTGTGCAGGAATAAACTATTAGAGTGTCTGTTTTATTGGAGTCAGGCTAATATACCTGGTCAGGCTGATAATACCTGTAAGTACAACAACGCCTCGTTATACTTTAATCCTGTTCTGCGCCGATGGCTAGCCTCCGTTGAGGCAGGCCGCCGCGACTGAAATTCGGTCTGGAGGATATTATTATTATCATTATTAAGCTCAAAATAAGCTGCGACCGCCAACCCGTCTGCCAAGCGTGAGAACTATGGCAAATATGAAGAACTCTTGGAGGGAGACCTATGTTCAGCTGCAGATTTTTGATAGATTTTAATTAATAAAAATAGGTATATAATAATATAAAATTTTATATATATATATTTTTTATATATAATGTAAAAATACATATCTCTCTTGTAGGTATGAGAGGTTGAAATACTTATAAAGGTTTCTGGCAAAGGCACCCCTCTATAGTAGCAACACATTCCTTCCGGCTTCGCTTAAGTAAGATATTACTAAACTATTTAAAGGGCATTATTAGGTCGTACGTAGACTCATGTTTGGACTGGATGTCCAATAGATCAGCACGAGAACCATTCCGATTTTTCTATAAATTTGATGTTTCAGGCATTTTAACCCGCAGAAAACTGAACAGTTTTTCATTTTTCTCGAAGCGTATTCACTTACGCAATTGATTCAGATTGGCAAAGTGTCTGACCTCATCTAGTTTTAATATGGACTTGTACTTTGAGGGAGGGCATGCCTGTGTTTGACGTCTAGTCTGTTTTTCTCTAAGTTAACCAGTCTTATGTTAGAAAATATTTTCTTTTCTTTAGGAATGGATATATATGCCAGGAATCAATATATTAATTTATGAAAAGTCTGTTGTATTACTAAGTTTAACTGTATATTATTTTTTTCTTTTTTGTTTTTATGTTATTTAATAATCCTTTATTTTAAAACATTGGAGAAAAAGTTCCACCTATAAGGATGTGTACCTATTATAAGCTCAAAATTGCTGATCATGATGCCCTGGGTTCGAAACCCCAGCGTATTTACTTGGCAATTGATAGCAATATTGCTGCGATGGCTTTGCTTGGGTATGACATATTAATGTGGCGTTATTTAAATTAAAGATAATCAAAGACCATTAATTAATGAATATTTCGCATTTTTAATCTACAAGTTTTCGGATAAAATATCTACTACTTAGATCACTTCTGGCATTGTTCTCTATCTGTTCGTAAAGTTTCATTACAAATGGTGCAGCTATTCCAAAGATAAGCCCCGACAGACAGACAGTTAAAAATTTGAAAATAATTATTCATATCTTAATGGCATGCAAATAAGGTAGTTATTTAGACGTTACAGACAATTCTTCAATTTTATTTATATACATATAGATGTATGTTTTTCAGGTAACCTCTTATACACTAAAGTAGTCAACAAATCCTTTACGATAATGTTCCTTATCAACTCTTGCCTGATGCTCATCGCTACAGTTTACTGCATTCTGTTTCTGAAATGGCAGACGAGGCCCGAGCAGAAGTCTCTACGTGAAGCCAACTTGACGAATCCAATTTCGGACTTCTTTGACCTTAGCAACATCAGTCAGACCCTAGTTACTTTATCGAAGAAACGGCCCAATAACAGGAGGATTCTCCTTTGGTTTCTGCTCATTTCTATGGCTTTCTATACATTCCAAAGAGGTGAGTGATATTTTTCTATGTGTATTACTTGTGGTGCCTTAAGGGAGTTCATCACACTATGTCCTGTGGGTGTGCTAAGAGGGTGACTATTGAAAAATGACAGCAAGTTTATGGACTGGTAACAGTGCGCAGCCTTTCTAAACTGGCCAACTCCTTTCTAAAAATTAGGCAACGCATCTGCAATTCTCCTGGTGTTGCAGTTGTTCATGGGCGGCGGTAGTCACTTTACATCAGATGAACCGTATTCTCGTTTGACCCATCTTCTATAAAAAAAATGTTTACTAGTAGGCGGGTTGTGCAGCCTTAATACATTGTGTACTAAGATTCGGTGAATTACGTTGTAGCTATGTAATGTTTGTAGCACGAATGGTTCGGTTCCACCGGGGGATAATATTGACAGCATTTTCTTGGTCACATTAACCACAATCGGTGTTGGATTGTCGAACGCAACATTCATTATAGAACGTCATAAAATAAGAGTAACAAACGAGCACATAGTAGTCCACCTGATGGTAAGTAGATGCCCATAGTCATCAGTTCCAGTATAAAAAAGGTCTCCTGTTCTCTACGTTTACCATACGAAACACGGCAGCATTAATTAAGCTGCTATATTACGGTATTCTTGTGAGAGCGTGGTCCTGCCCCGGTCGAATTGACCCGTTCAAGCTACAACCATTATATAGCTGCAGCATGGCCCTACTACGTATTTGACCGCAAAGCCCGCCTAGTCGTATACATAGAAATCTTTGGCTTAGCATTGCGATAAAAATAAATTGTTCCTACAATGGAAGAAGCCCATGTCTCGAAAACTTCTGTGGACAGATGTAGAAACATATATTTTAGTTTAACTAGATTTCAGGACACAGACAGTGTTATAAATAGATTGTAACTTAATAACAAAATATCATACCACTAAGGCAATCTATTGGTATATGAGTGTAAATCTGCCTACAATGTTTTAGGTGACTATAAATAAAGATTAGTCTCCAGAGTTTTATTATTTAATTAGACAGATGGTGATATATTGTAGTTTTACTATGCCCATCATTAGGTTAATTTCTACTTAGATATTACCTCACTTATTTGCTGCTAGCAAACAGCAGTGGAGTACACTGCTGCCTTCTAGCTTGTAGAGCATATAGAACCAGTTCAATTACGGACTGAGCCATTTTAGTCTTCTGTGTTGTAAACGCATTAACAGCTTCTTTGCCTGAAGTTGGTTGCAAGTTTCCATGAACTGCAGTATCAATTTATTGTAATAAGGGGGGAAACAAGCTCGTAGTCCAGCTGATGGTAAAAATTTATACTATTGATCAAAAATCAAAATGCCGATGTGTTGTCTCTTCTAAAAACTAAGATGGAATGCCGCGTTTCCAGTAAAAAGGGGCTTTGGTTCTCTACACTCACCATACAAGTTTTCCCAGTACCAAGGCGCTTACTTTACAAGGCGCAAGTTCGGCCGCTCATGGAATACTGTTCCCATCTCTGGGCTGGAGCTCCCCAGTACCAGCTCCTTCCACTTGACCGCATCCAGCGCAGAGCGGCTCGAATCGTCGACGAACGAGTGCTTTCCGATCGGCTCTATTCACTGGCGCTGCGAAGAGATATTGCATCTCTTTGCGTATTTTATCGCATCTATCACGGGGAGTGCTCTGAGGAATTGTTCGGATTAATCCCAGGCGCCAAATTTTATGAACACACGCAGAAAACCTCCCGATACCATCCACACCATCTGGATGCTTGGCGGTCCATCACTGTACGTTTCACTAGGAGTTTTCTTCCGCGTACGACCTTTCTGTGGAATAATTTACCACCGGCGATTTTTTCGGACGGCTACGACCTGGGGACCTTCAAGAAAAGAGCTTACTCCTTTCCAAAGGGTCGGCAACGCACCTGCAATTCCCCTAGTGTTGCGGTTGATCATGGGCTGTGTTAGTCACTTAACATCAGGTAAACCGTAGGCTCGTTTGGCCCCTCTCCTAAAAAAAAATACAAAATACGACAGCATTAAACTTTACTTACCATTAAATGGACTGTAACTTCATTTGCCACTTAGATTTTGAAAAAAGATCTTACTTTCCAGATGAGAGACCAATGATGTATCTTTACACAACATACATGTTCGAATGGGACGCTACTGACTTCAGCAACTTCAGGACATATCTCAGTTCTGCGTACGTGATAGTGATGCTGTTCGGTATACCTTTGTTCACCAAGGTCTTCAACTGGAGGGACACAGTGAGTAAAATGTGTATTAATCACTATTATTGTATTAAATATATATTTATACAGCAGGACCTCTTTAATCCGAACCCCGAAAATTTACCCCCCGTTCGGATCCGTGGAGCGTTCGGATTATAGTACAAAAAAATAGGGTATTTTTTATGGAATAAAACTATTAATATTATGAAATTTAAAACCACTTGGTCAGCCCATTCAAGACATGTATTAAAGGCAGACACCGCGCTTGAATTGGAAACGCTTGCTACTGGTTCAACGTGCGATATTTCTTCACTTTCGCCGTCACATTCCTGCGTTACTTGCCTTAATACTTCATCATCAGTAAGAGGTTCAGTTTCATTTAGGTCATCATTGCGTAGTAAGAAGTTATTAATTGCATTCTCAGAAAAGCCTCTATTAACGAAAAAAGCTAAGGGAACCTCATCTTCGGGTTCAAAGTTAACGTCTGTATGTTTTTCGACGTTTAATTGAGGCCACAAGGGTAACCAAGATTTGTTTATTAGGTTCGCATTCAACTGATTCCAAATTTTAGCCAATGAGAAAACAGCTTCTTTCATATTGGTCTTCTTAAGGATATTGGATACAGTACGTTCAGAATCCAATTCCTGTTGTGCAAAAAAAAGTTTTTTCTTGTAATTCACCTTTATGTTTTGAATAACATTTTGGTCCATTGGCTGGATGAGAGCTGTGCAATTGGGAAGCATGTATAAAATTGTGAAATTTTCATCAATGGTTTGCAGGTCTTCCTCAAGCGGATGTGCCGGCGCATTCTTGATAATGTAATATCGCTTTCAGTGGTAGATTCTTCTTAGATAATAATTTTTTTACTTCAGGGATAAAGTATCCTTTAAACCACTCTAGAAATATAGGTCTCGTCACCCATGCATTCTTTTGCCCCATGTAGTGTACTGGTAGCTTTCGTACAGATGCAAAAGCACGTGGCTTTTGTGCTTTGCCAATGACCAATAAAAGCAGTTTTTGCGTCCCAGCAGCATTCGCACAGGACATGAATGTTATTCTTTCTTTGAAAACTTTAGAACCTGGGGCTCTAACTTTCTAAGTCAGATGCCAGCGTTTTGTCTTGTATTGTTCTCCAATAAAAACCAGACTCATCTGCATTATAGTTTTGCTCTGCGGACAAATCTTTCTCCGTGATTATGTCCATAAATTTATCCTGGAATGGTTTTACGGCGTCTTCGTTGTTAGACAACTTCTCGCCGGTTATTTTGAGTTGTCGTATTCCGTGTCTTTTTTTGAATTTTTCCAACCAACCTTTACTGGCAGAAAACTCTCTTCGCCCAAGCCTTTCATGAAAATATTTCGCCTCTAAATAAAATATCAAATATCTAATAAATATCACCTGACAAGGGAACGTTTTTTCGTCGTTGTTCTATAAACAACGTAATCAATGCATCTTCAAGTTGTGGATTTTCGGGCGTTTTTAAAGTCTTTCGAGCACCTGGCCCCTTATCAGTTCTCACAACGTAAGATCGTATCTGTTCTTCCTTCTTCTTAATATCAAAAATCGTAGATTTGCCAACACCATACTTCAGCGCAAGAAAACTAAAAGAAATACCTTCCTTGATTTGATCCAAGATCTCGCATTTTTGAGAAATAGTCAGGGTAACGTGTTTCCTTTTCTTTGGCGTCGAAGCCATGATGTAAAAACACAAATAACTGTCGAGATGCACGAGTGACGCAATATCAACACAAAATGGCGGACAATAACAAATACGCGTGACACCTACTTGACATTTGGTAAGCAATTGGCGAGACGCAGACGCGGCGATTGCGGGGAGTGAAAAAAGCGCGGGTGGGGGCGTGTTCGGATTACAGAGGTGTTCGGATTAGACGGGGTTCGGATTACAGAGGTCCTGCTGTATAGTGTTTGATAGATTTGTGTATGTTATGGGTCAGTGAGGGGTTGTTCCCTTAAAAATGGTAGAAGAGAGTGGATGATGACTGCTATATTTGTCATATTTTCGAATAAGTGTTGTTTGTTGGGGCTGGTCTGCTTGGGTATTAAAAATTAAAAATGCTAATTGAAGCAATTTTTTGAAATTTTATTTTAAGTATAAGTTTGTATCCAAATTTATATTGGACCGCCCTTGAAGTATAACCTATATAAGAGAAAAAGAATCATTCAAATCTGTTCTTTTCCTGCGAAGATATCATATGAAATTCCTAAACAGTAGTCCAATATGAAAATTTTCTCCCTATTTTCCAGCCTTCCAACACTCGAATTGAGAACCTTCTCCTTTTTGAAGTCGGTTAAAAATATCTAAATTGTTAGGATCGATTACTAAATTCGTATCAGGCTAGAGCTAACTACTCCCATTTCCCTTACGCTATATCTAAGTTTACCACCGATCTTTTAATATGTGTGTGTGTGTGGACCACCATGGATAGAATAGACCGCGTAAGTGCGTGTGCACTTACGTGTAAAGCGTGATTATAATACTTATTGTCCACGCATTCCTTTTTGGCCTGGCTGAAGTTGGCTTTTTGCGCATATGCAGACGTTAGTCTATAGAGTTGTGCTAATTCGTAATCTCTCCTAACTTCGGAAGCAATATTTTTTCATTTATATCGATTATTTATATTGAAAATTATTATTATAATGAAAATATCTTAATGTATTTCGATAAAACAATAGTATTTAATAGAGAATTACTATAAACAGTTTGAATATGTAGTAAATACACAATATTAGTTGGACAACAAATTCTGTCAGTAACCCCAAAATAATATAAATTTAAATTTTTCAATAAAATTGATACATATCATCATAAAATAGAATTAAAATAAACGGATATTTATGTATTTACTTACAATATTATATCATGATATATTTTGTTACACATAATGTGTATTGACTGAGTGGTAGAGAATGCATTAAATCCGCCCATTGTATTCTTTTTTTTAATGGAATGTAATACCAAAAAAATCACTGTATTTTAAACGACATGTTGTATTTACACACCAATGAAAAATAAAACAAACATGTATGCAGTTCACACGCGATAGAAGTGAAACCTTTAGAAAGTTACGAGAAAAATTGCTTTGTAATAGCGTAAAATCTACTTTATTTAATAGGTAAAGTCAATTCATTTATCTAACAAAAATTGTTTGACTCTTGAGGTGGTACGTAAAATACTACTAATTTAATATAAATTAATAAGTTATGAAATCGTGGCTTGTCATGAATGGATTGGTTAAGATTATTTTATTCATGTAATAAATTTGTTAATTTTAACTGTTTATTTTAACAGTTAAAAGTGATATTAATCATCCATAAAGCACAAGGCGGAAACCGAGATGATAAGAAACTATATAAATCTCTCACATGCTAAATCCTATTATATCTTTTATTAGTGTCGCATTTTCGTTTAATCGAGTTTCAAATCGCGATTCTAAAAAAAATTCACTTCAATAATGAAATTGAATCGTAATCGATAATAACGATAATCGATTCTACGTAACATGTTTAATCCGTGTAAATGTAACCGCGCAATACGCGTGTTCGCATCTCTAGTTTTAGTTGGCGCTCACTCTCCCAATCCTCTTGTTACCATTTTGTTCTTAAAAACTATATCTTCCTTCTTCCCAGCCGCGCGAGACTAACTTCAGCCCGGCCAAGATGACGACTCCGTGGCGCAGTGGCTTAGCAGTGAGTGCTGCGCTAGGGGTTGCGGGTTCGAATCCCGCACGGAACAAGTATTTGTATGGCCTACAAATAATTGATCCGGGTCTGGATGTTTGTCCTCGTAAAATGTATGTTTGTAAACTGCCCCCACGATATAAAATCCTAGTGTAGAGGTAAAGTTTTTTTTTAAATTCGAACAAATTCGAAGATAGTACACGCAGACCATAATTTTCATTGTAAGTTCCGCGACTTTGCGGAGTTGGGAACTAACTTTATATTATATTAATTCTTCTTTGTCTTATAATTAATTTATATTATATTTGGGAATCGAATTTATAATTTTTTTATAGGATAGGGTGACAAACGAGCACACAGTCCACCTGATGGTAATTGGTTGCTGTAGCCCATAGACATCTACATCTATCCTCGATTATGAATCAAAATGCAGATGCGTTGTCACCCGTGAGGACTAGGATGGAATGCCTCGTTTCCAGTAAAAAAGGTCTCCGGTTCTCTACACTCACCATACGAAACACAGGAGCATTAAGCTGCTATTTTACACTGGTATTTTGTGAGAGCGTGGCCCTTCCCCGGTCGAGCCGACACATTCGTGCTACAACCATAATATTGCTGCAGCGTGGCTCTACTATGTATAAACTATAATATGTTATTATTGTAAGCAAATAGCTATAATGTAAATAAACATATTTTGTGTCTTCTTGTTTCTAATGCCTTACATCATTGCAGGTGATAATAATGCTTGGAGCTGGCGCGCATATCGCTGGTCATTTGATATATGCCCACGCGACGACGGGCAGCGTACTGTACGTCGGTGCGACTGCAGCAGCGGTGGGCCCATGCGTGGCCCCACTTATCCGCTCTATGACCTCGAAAGTGCTGCCGCCAGCCGAAAGAGGTAACATTCAAACTAATCACTTGAAGAATCTCTAAAACTTTCGCTAATCGCTAATGCTGTTTAATCCACAATAACTACTAAATTTCGTGACTGCTCCACCCTACATACTATATATATATATATATATATATATATATATATATATATATATATATATATATATATATATATATAACGTGTCACGTTGTTTGTCCGCGATGGACTCCTAAACTACTTAACCGATTTTAATCAAATTTGCAAACCGTGTGCAGATTGGTTCAACTTGAGAGCTAGGATAGTTTTTATGCCCATGAGTGAACCAGAGTTTTATGTAATATTACTACCATTACTATACAATACAGTATTGTACACCGAGGTAAGATAAATATATCAAAAATAAACAAATATTGTGGGAAAAACAAAAGGCAGTGTTATTGCCACATAAAATATCTATTCGAGATAACCCAGAAAAATAATTTTATATAAATAAGAAAAAGATTAACTGGGTGCACTAAAATAAGAAAGGATACCAACTTATGACTAAAGAGAACATACTTTCGGTAGATCAGTTGTCATAAATAAAAAGAGGAAGAGAGACAAGCAGACCTTTAACCAAATCTTTAACCTGTGACTTGAACAAATGTAAGGACTGAACACTTAATCGGCTGGGGTAAGAAATTCCAGTCTTATTTCAAGAACCGTAAATACCGCGTAGTGCGATAGCCACTACCTCATATCTTTTCGTGGGGGGTCGTAAGAGCCGAAAGAGACAGGAGGTGGACAGCAACATTGTTCTGATAACAGCAAGAGTATATAATAAGAAATTGCGGTTGCCAACCCACTTGCCAAACGGTGCAACAGTATCATGTCCCCGGCGGCCTCGCTATTCGTGGCGACCACAGCTGAGCAGGTGCTGCTAAGAATCTCCGGTGGAGGTTTGGTTGCCACCTTAGGGTCAGCGCACACAAAGAGCAGAGCAGAGCATTTTCTGAGAACACTAAAATATTAGTTTTATGACTACTGACAGACAGTGCAAAATTATATACACGTCCAAACGTGATGCTCGACCATGCTCGAGCTTGCAGGATGCATGTTCGAGCGCGCGACCGCGCTCGCACCGCCACCGCCCGCGCTCAGTATTGCCGCAGCGAAAAAACTGTTTGGACGTTTTAGTTTATATAAGCGCGTCACATAAGTCGGAATCATGGACGAAGAAAAGTTGATAAGTTTGGTGCAGCGTTTTGAATATCTGTACAATAAATCAAGTCCAACTTACAGCGATCGTATGTTAAAAGCCAATGCTTAGGAAAGAATCTCCACGTTTCTTCTACCCATACTGTTCTTCTAATTTTCTGACGTCTGATTCCATTAATATGTTCTTCATGTACATGTACATCGAGTCTCAATCGATCATATTGAACACGTCTCTCAACGTCGGATTTTGGAATCAAATTGGGTACGCACGCCCCCTTAGCAACCCAGAGCACTTTCAATGGATCTTGCTCACGGAGGCGCGGGGATGCCGCCTGCATGGTCGAGTAGTCAAAATTTTGCTCGAGCATGCGCGAGCATTTTGCAGTTCGGTCTGCGCTGACCCTTAGACGACTTGACCTGGCAAAAATTCACGCACCCTGAGGACTGACGAGAAGATCCTGGAGCTGAAAGAAGAGATAATTTGCACTGGAATATTATAGGAGTAAATGAGATCCGAAGAAAAGGGGAGGACACGGTAATCCTCGAACCCGGCTATGTGTTCTTTCACATTCTAGTCATTGAAAATTTTTGAAACATTTGAAAAACATTTTCAATGCCTAGAAGACTGTAATGCAGTGAACGATATGAATGACAAGCTTGTGGAAACTGTTCATGCTGTCGGAGCTACATGCTGCAAGATCCGTCACAGAAGAACACAAAAACTCTCTGAACACACTTTTAATCTCTTGGCTGTTAGACGGGAAATAAAGCTACAGTCTTCAGCAGCTTTGACAGCATACAGGCTGTATAGTGTATAAACTAAACAGACAGATCTTCAAATGCAGTGGGACTTAAGCAACTTCAATACAGCTCATATTAAAGAAGCGATCGAGCGGAACCAGGGCTTCAAAGTCTTTGTCAGAGATCTGTCTGCCAGAAAGAGCCAACTGTTGAAGCTGAAGACCGAGTGTGGCAGAATCATTTCCAGGACACTTTAGATATCGTAGTGTGAGTGTGTGTGAGTAACGATCCAAGAGCAAGTCTTATCCGACACTATTCCGATGATATCCCGAACGTCAGTCTGAGCGGGATTAGAATGGCTCTCCAGCACCTTAAAAATGGCAAGGCCCCAGACGCGGGTGGAATTACGGCGGAGCTTCTGAAAGCGGGTGAAAAACTGGTGCTTGAAGTCCTTTAGAAGCTCTTTAATTCCATCCTCCATGGTGATACTACTACAGAGGCGGGCAGAAATGCGGTGGTCTTGTGCTTCAAGAACACTCGACACACGACAGTCAACAGGCAACATTGCTTGAAGAACTACGGACCGATTTCCTTTCTGAGCCGCGTCTACCTGCTATTTTCCTGTCATTACGAATCGTCTCGCACGCAGTCTTCCAGCCTCCCGAATAAGCCGGTATCCGAAAAGGCTTTATGCACCAAAGACCACATACATACCCCAGCGAGTTGTACAGAAGACAGAGTGTACAATCGAAGGCGAGAGTACAATCTGCCACTTTGCCTTGCGTATGTAGATTATGAGAAAGCCTTTGATTCCGTCAAAATTTGGGCGGTGCCAAGTTGACTGTCCGTATATCGAAGTGCTGCAGTGTTTGTATAGTATAGACAAAGGTCGTAGGTTCGAATCCGCCATTCGACTACTGGCATGAACCACTCGTAACACAAGCAATTTAAGCTTACCACAAGTGATTAAGGGGAATATTAGTAATGTTTACAGCATTGTTAATATTCTTTATTATTTAAAAAAAAAAGACAAGGTGGGTATCCGAGTACAGAACCAGAGAATGAAACCCATCATAACTGCAGAGAGTTGTAAGACAGGGTGACGTTATATCCCCGAAACTCTTCACCGCTGCATTGGAAGGCGTTTTCAAGCTACTGGACTGAGAGGTTACGGTATTAAAATCAATGGCGAGTACATCACTCACCTTCGATTTGCCTACCATATAGTCCTTATGGCAGATTGGTGGAGGACCTAAGCACTAAGCTCAATGATCTCAGTAGTGCCTCCCAACGGATGGGCAGAAGAACCTTAAGAAGAACATTGTCAAAACAAAGATCATGTGTAATGTCCATGTCACACCTATGCCAGATACCTAGCAGGAAATCATTACCTACGGTATTGAAGGCATTGCTAAAATCCAGCAATACCGTTACTGTGGGTTGATGATTGTCCATACCATACCTATGGCCAGATCTAAAGCCAAGTTGAAGAGGTTGAGGACACCATTTCTTGAACAAAAGGAATTAATTTATTGTTGGATAAGTAGTCTAAAAGACTGGAAAGTAAGGGAACAATCGAAATGGGATGATATTCGGAATTTTTTAAGGATTTGCTTTTTTGGGTAAAAGTGTGATTTTTTTATTGAAAAGGCGGCAAACGAGCATGCGGCTCACCTGGTGCTAAGTGACTACCGCCGCCTATGATCAACCGCAACACCAGGGGAAATGCAGGTGCGTTGCCAGCCCTTTAGAAAGGAGTAAGCTCTTTTCTTGAAGGTCCCCAGGTCGTATCGGTCCGGAAAAGTCGCCGGTGGTAAACTATTCATAAACACAGAGAGGTTGTACGCGGAAGAAAACTCCTTTTGAAACGTACAGTGGTGGACCGCCAAGCATCCAGATGGTGTGGATGGCATCGGGACGTTTGCCGCGTAGTGCGTTCACGAAATTTGGCGGCTGTGGATTAATCCAAACAATTCATCAGAGCACTCTCCATGGTATATGCGAAATAAAATGCAAAGAGATGCAACATCTCTTCGCAGTGCCAGTGAATCGAGCCGCTCTGCGCTGGATGCGGTCAAGTGGAAGGAGCTGGCACTGAGGAGCCCCAGCCCAGAGATGGGAACAATATTCCATGTGCGGCCGAACCTGCGTCTTGTAAAGTTGCAAGCAGCTGTGCCAGCATGAAAAACTGTCCCGCTCTGCTGAGCACGCCAAGCTTTTTAGAGGACAATTTGGCCTTCTCTTCCAAGTCACCACGAAACTGCACATCACTCGATTTGTCGACGCTGAGGATTCCGATACTGGCTGAGGCAACAAGGGGAGTGCCTTGAAACTGAGGAGATACGACAAAGGGGTTCTTTTTAGCGGTTAACGCGCAAACTTGTGTCTTCTGGGGGTTAAACTGGACTAGATTTAGTCGCCCACAATCCGAGACTCTGTTCAGCAAAGACTCTACTTCAGAGACAAGTTTGTCCCGGCACTCGGAGACGTTTTCCCGAGAAATATTGGCTCGGCCGGTGTAAATAGCATCACCAGTGCTGTCATCTGCAAAGCAATGAATGTTACGGGCTTGCAACATATCATTGATATGCAGAAGAAACAGCGTTGGCGATAGCACGCAGCCTTGTGGAACACCAGAATTAATAGGCTTGCAATCGGAGCTTGCACCGTCTACAACGACCTTGATGCTCCGATCTGCAAGAAAGCTGGTGATCCAATCGCACAATTTCTCGGGAAGCCCATAGGAAGGGAGCTTCGAAAGAAGCGCTTTGTGCCAAACCCGATCTAAGGCCTTCGCAATGTCCAAACTAACGGCCAATGCCTCCCTCTTGGACTCTACTGCCTCCGCTCATCTAAGTAACTAGCGAGTTAGGTAGACCAGAAGATCACCAGCTGCCCGACCAAGGCGAAAACCGTATTGACGGTCACTAATCAGCTGGTGATCCTCAAGGTACCTCATGAGCTGGCAGTTTACAATGGACTCCATTGTTTTGGAGAACAATGAGGTGATGGCGATAGGCCGGTAGTTGGACTGGTCTAAGCGGTCGCGTTTTTTAGGGATCGGGTGGACGAAAGCCGTCTTCCATGATTTTGGGACTACGCCTAGGGTGTAGGAGTACCGGAAAAGACACGTTAAAACCGGTGCCAACTCTGGAGCACACGTCCTCAGCACAATTGGGGGAATTCCGTCAAGGCCCACTCGACTTGTGGATGTCCAGGGAGAGGAGTGCTTTGCGAACCGAGCACTGTGTGAACTGCACTTCCGGCATGGAGCACTCACACCGTGGGATGGTCGACGGCGTACTCCCCCCGTCATCGAGAGTCGAGTTGGACGCAAAGAAAGAGCCTAGCAGATCGACTTTCTCCTTTGCGGTGTGGGCCAGTAAGTTGTCCTCCCTGTGCAGAGATGGGAGAGATGGCTGACAGAAATTCCCCTGGACAGCCTTGGCGAGAGACCAGAATTCACGGGTTCCAGAAGGAAGGCGAACTAGTTTCTCGCCAATTCTGCCTATGTGCTCTGACTTTGCCTTGGCAATGACTCTTGTGAAGGACCTAGAGGCGGAATTATACTTCTTTTTAGAGCCCTGGTGTTTATATCCCGGGACGCTGATGCGTCAGCCCAGGCTTGGTAGCACTCCTGCTCATAGCATGATGCTATTTTACAGGAGCGACCATGGCTGAGATTTGCCTCCAATGGGCACCACGGAGGAAGGAATAAAAAGTTCCATACCCTGAAGTACCACATCAGCGACAGAATCCGCAACAAGGTTGGGATCGTCCGGCGAGAAGCAAACCCGCCCCCAAAGGTAGGATGCAAAGAAAGACCGCATCCCATCCAATCGGCTGACCTATAGTGCCAAACACGGCGGCAGCCTGCAGAATGCGACTGCGATTTCAGCGTGAGTGGCACCACACTCCGTACAAGACAATGGTCCAAGGAGCCTAAAGGGGTGTCGACGGAAATCTGATATCTGTCCGGGTGAGAGGTCAGCAGAAGGTCCAACAGGAAAGGTGCATGATCTTCCACATCTGGAATCCGCGTAGGCGAAGTAACCAGTTGTGTCAGACCATATGTCAAGGCAAAATCATGAACAGATCTCCCCGCATGATCGGTTAAAAGTAAAAATGATTTGGGCATTCTGCCATTGGGAAGGGAAGGAAGATGAGGATATGGAAAAATTTCACATGCAGTATCATTTTACGACTGACGTCATCACAATCTGCAAATTGCTTAAACACAAAGAAAGAAAGTCATGACTGGGAAAGGAGGAAAGTTGAGTAAGTGTTGTTGATTTTGCAAAAAACAGAAGAGAAATTCTGATCAAGCAAATTTAAATGGACGTTATCTAATTAGAGTACGAACGTGTTTTCCCAACTCCTATGAACTTTAAAAAGTTCCGAACATGACATGGATCTCGGTTTTGCATTGGTTTATGGTTGTGGCGGCTTCCTAAGTCTCTACACACCATTCTTTACCAATCATCCTATTAACATTATCATATTATATAATGTTACAAAATGCAACTTGGAAATTCAACACTAAACTGGACGTAATATGTACGTAGGATGTAATTCCCAGTATATAATATTAAGTTGTTATTTGCCTATAAAATAGTAACTGCCGTAAATTAAAATACAACTGCGTGACCTATTTAAAGTGCCGGCTATCCGATCGCGTTTTCACCTGTGCGATCCACAATTGTAACACAGTTTTTGTTACAATACATATAGACGACCACTAGTATTTATTTAATATATAAAAATATAGAAGAGTGTGGTTTGCAAGATGATGTTGTGACCAGGATTAAGAAAGGAATGCTTCGGTGGTTTGGTCATGTGGAAGAGTGACAAAGAAAATTTATGTTGCAGAAGTGAATGGCAGAGTCGGAAAGGGACGTCCTAGGCGAAAATGTATCGACCAAATTGGCGATTTATTGAAAACGGGCCAAATTAGGAGTACCCTTAACCGACGAGCATGTATGCGTAGGTATATGGATGTGAAGGAGGCGAGAGAGGTGTGTCAGGATCGTGCCAAATGGAAGTGTGTAGTCTCTGCCTACCCCTCTGGGTGACAGGCGTGAGTGTTTATATATATATAAATTAGATATAATATGTAAGCTGAAGTAGCAATTGAACGACCATAATATAGCTCATTAAACTGACAGTCGATGGTTAACGAAGGTTCTCGAGTTGCAGCCACGTACTGGTTAGAAAGCGCCTTATTAGATGGAGTGACAACATGGTTAGGGATGCAGGAAGTCGATGGAAGCAGGTGGCATAGAAGGCTTGAGGCACTGAATGAAATTATTTATATTTAATATTTTAATTGTTACCTGTTTAGCGAAATAAATGTCGTTATTTGAGGTAATTTCTATTAAAGTGTTTATTTTTTAGATAAAGTAAAGTTACAGCCTATATACGTCCCACTGCTGGGCACAGGCCTCCCCTCATTTCTGAGAGGGTTTTAAGGCAAGGAAGTGTCCGCCGCGCTGCCCCAATGCGTGTTGGCGAACTACACATGTCTTCGAAATATTTTTTTTCTTATTCCTCGGACATGCAGGTTTCCTCACGATGTTTTCCTTCACCGCCTAGCACGTGGTAAATCAGCTCTTAAAATTGCAATTAACAATTTCATTGATGCCGACGGGGATCGAACTCGGGTTACTCGCGTTCTGTTATATTTTCAGTTTTTAGATAATAATCAATTATTCTTAAAAAAAAATTTTAGGAGTGGCGTTCGCGTTTCTATCTGTGATGGAGAATGCTGTAGCTATGTTTGCCTCGGTGATCTACTCGCAATTGTACAAGGCGACTTTGGATACTGAATATATCAACTCCATCTTTTACCTCACCATGTCAACGCAGGGCATCGTTTTTCTGCTAGCCTTGTGAGTATTGACCTTATGTGACCAGTTTTAATCTATTTTTAAAGATGAAAACAATGCTTAAAGTACAATAACATAACATTATGTAAAATGAATGTCTTACACCACTATGGTGTAAACCACAAGACCAGTATCGTTTATATATGGCCACAAATTTTTAGGGCATATACAACATGTAACAGAAACCCTGTGGTTTCCGTTAACGGCGTTATCAGAATCAGTATTTAAGCATATAGAAATATTTTTTTTAAAACACATTTAAAAAAAATTATTTTTAATGAAAAAATTAATTTGCAAATTGTATGTGGTTTTATTATCTCTGCATTGGCCGAGGAGTAAGAGGATTGTCAAAGACCCCTCGTTACCGATACTCGTGTGAGTTAGAGGAAATAAAACCACATACATTTTGCAAATTGATTTTTTTTTTAAATAACTTAAAATCTCTTATGAATTCTACGAGTTGGGTTAGCATGTAGAGCACTGCCATTTAGTGGTATACAATGGAGTTTCAGATTTTAATTTTTTTTACAGTACAACGGAAATACTTTTGAAAGGGCAACGTCTCGAAACAATCGTCGAGCAGGACGAAAGACGAATCTCCAACGCGTCTTGACCAATCCCCACACATCACACTAAATGGTGGCATTCCTATACATCGTATTCACTGCACGAATTACAGCGAATAAATATTATTAAAATTCTATGATGTTGACGTTGTTAATTAATATTTTTTTATTTAACAACACTAGTTTTAAGACAAAGTTAAAATTGTTGTTTTTAGTTTATTTAAATATTGTTGTTGGTGATCGTGTTGATCTTGAATTGATCTTGAATGATGTTGAAAATTATAAAATTATTTGTCATATTGGTTCTCTGTCTACAGGGGGCGTTCAAGTATTACGTAACGCAATTTTTGAAGATGTTTCACCCTCCCTGCCCCCCACTAAACTCACCGTAACGTTTTACTGTACCCTCCCCCCTCCCCCTCTAAACGTTACGTAGAACCCACGTGACCATTTTTACCTAAACGTCATAATTATGTTGCGCAAGGTCGCTTAAATACCTTCGTTCATTATTGTTTTAATCGCGTTTGAGGTAATAATAAATAAAACAAGAGATTTCTAAGTCGCAGTACATGCGTATTTTGTTCATTTTATTTATTCATATTGTTATTTAATAAACAATCACAGATAATGTAATAAACATTTGCTTTGTTGATTTGTTTAAAATATGTTAAAATGGGCTTAAATTTTCCTAATAAACTTTTACTACTAATCTTACATTTATGTAATTACTCCATTTTCCTGAATGGCTCTGTTCTTACCATACATTTTTGGCTTCATCCACTATTGTCCTTCTCTTGCATTCTCCTGTTTTAGCTTTTTTTTTACTAATAAACTCTTTAAGTAAAATAACATATTTATATTAATTTTTGGCAATGATATTAGAAACCTAACTGAAATAAAACATCTTAGTTAAAATAAAATCGTATTCATAACAATAAATTTAAAATAAAATCAGTCACAATAATTCAAATAAGTAGGTATTTAAAAAAACTGTTCAACTGGAGTTACTGCTCTTGTGTCCACGGGCTTACCAGCCACTCAAACTCTTTCATTACTGGCATCCGGCGAGCAGCTGAAGAGGGTTCCGGAATTGTTAAACCACTTGCATCAACTTCGTATTCGTCGAGTCAGTCGGCGTTCTCAGACGATAATTCACAGCGGCGCACAATGCAGCTTATTTGCCGTCCTGTCAGCAAGTCGCTGTGGCCGTACTCTTCTTTAACGACGGTCTTAGGTGGTCTTGCCATGCACTTAACAACTGTGCATTTGCACACTCTTGTGCGATGTGAAATAGATCACACAGGTTGGACATATTCTGGTCTTGAATTGGGATTGTACAGATGAACAAAATAAATCGTAAGGCATCTGCTTAAAACCTTCTAGAAGAGACGATATATCAACCCAAATGCTCACAACAAGTGGTGAAAACTTGCATGATACTTTGTCTCGTTGACTAGGTACCACGAGCCTGCTTGAGGTTGCAATAATTGGTGCAATAATTGGGTAGGCTGGCGGCAGGAAAATATTCGGAAAGACAGATTTCAATAACTCTTTTATTGTAGACCAAAATTATTCTCCGTTTAAGGTGGTAAAAGATTTTGGCTTATTAGTTTCTTTAAAAAATATTTACAATGTGGAATTAAAATATTGAAGTAAAAAATAAATAAACTTGAACGAGATAAAATGAGTAAACTTAGTTTTATTCAATTGTAATGCCGCCCAATGTCAACTTTTGTATCATTTGTGATACTTGTGAAACTAAATAAATAAAATATTTAGGGTACCAACATAGAGATAGATCCATTCCATATGATTTTCTTTGTTATTGTGATATTTCATTCTTTTTTTTATTTCCTTTGGGTGACTTGCGTAACGTAAGAGTTTAATTTGTGTTAAGAAATATGTGGAATTTATTCATTTATAGCATTTAATTCATAATTGTTACTAAATAATAAAAACAAAAATTTTGACCAAATATTTTGCAGTATTTGGTCAAAATACTAATTTAGCTCATTATTATGTCGACTTTGTTTGTATGTCCAAAGCCATGCAAAGCAATACATTAAATGTCTGTTATACGTAATTTGTATAATATTACGTACGTATTTTATACGTAATTTGAAATTGCACCAAAATGTAACTAACTATTATCTAATTAAATTTATTTAATAAAACGTGTCAATTCATTGGCAGTAAACGAATTAAACTGCGATATTGTAAATTATTACAACCTTTGAAGAAGCAAATACTTAAAAATAAAATATAAAAAAAAATTGTTTGTATTTTATGCACTGCCAGGTTATAAAGATAGTTGGACCCGGTAGGTGGCGCTGTTTTAGAATCCAGATATCGCCCGTGCGAAGCCGGGGCAGATGGCTGCTAGTGTTTAATAATTATTAAATTATTAATTACGTTATATCAAATGTAAACCCTTATAAGATTATATATTTTTTATATTGTAACATAAGAAATTTCTAATTTCTTTCGTACTATTAATGAATAACGTAATAATTATCAGTGTAATTAAAATGGTTTTGCCAACTAATGAAGGGTATTATCACCCCTGCTATAGTCCGTTCGCGTTAAGAAAATAGTGAGTCATCAGTGCAACTACAGGGTAAAGGTGTATTCACAGTGGAGTAAAAATTCTCTTTTTTTTTTCAAACATTTAATTAAGTTTAATGGAAGCAAATTCAACACTGTGAACTCGACTTTCTAATTTCTTGCATTTTAATTGGCTGGGGGGCGTGGCTAGGCCGGCGGACAACGATAACTCACTATTTTCTTAACGCGAACGGACTATAATTAAAATAGCATAGTAATTACTTGAGTTTTACTAAATGCATATGAAAGTATGTACGGTACATATAAAAAACCATATTGTTACATTTTGTCTGTCTGCCTATTTGTTCCGGTTAATCTCCGAAACTGCTAAACCGACTGACGGGACTTTCACTGACGTATATAGCTGATGTTTTGAGGTAACTTAGGCGACGAAGTCGCGGGGATCAGCTGGTTTATAATATTAATTTTATTTTAAATTAGCTGGTACCCAGCGCATTTCTGCCGCAAAAATTAATTGCGGAAAAATCATTTTAAACTTGGAAGAATTATATTGTTTAATTAGGCATGATAATACATTCATTGAAATTGAGTGATATATGACTTTCAAATAAATTTGTAGTTACCATAACCGCACCAGCTACTGTTAATTTACTGTACTGTCTATAACTTTCACGTAAGTTCAAGCCATAACTTGACATAGTCTTATGTCATATGCCAGTGCATAAAATACGAACAAATAAATTTTATTTGTTAAATATTATTAGATAATAAGTTTTTATTTTAACTCGAATAAGTTAATAAAATATACCAAGCTTATTTCTTTCATACTTAATATTCACCTACTTGGTGTTCACTTTCTACATTATATTATTGTATGACTTGAAATAATTATTACAGCTCAAGGTTCGAAGAGTTTTGTTAAATCGCTATACTTTGGCGGGTTGCCAAAGTTAATTTGAGACTTACGGGCAATGTCCCCATATATCATCGACTCCTCAGTCAACAATTTTTAAATCATAATTTTTTTACGTTATTTCTGTTTATTTGTTAATATAACAATAGTGCGATAGATATAAGTAGTGCCAGTAACAATGACTGAATTATCAATTTTTTTTTTTTAATGTAATTTGAAAGCTTTTAAAATTTAACATTATTTATATATTGAGTGACGGGGTGCTAAAAAATAAAACTATGTATTGATACTCGATAGTATTCGACAAACACTATTTTTTTTTGCAGTTAGTACAGCTCACTAAATCATTCGCGCGAATTCTCAAGTCAACTTTGGCGGGTTGTAATATAATATCCTTATGGTATAATAGTAAAATGACGAATTTGTATTGAAATATGAACGTAAACACGAGTTATTGTTATTTATGTAAAAACTGTTACGTTTTTCTTGCTTGTATTATTCAGTTTATACGGTATTAATAAACTCCACTAGTTCCTATATCTTGTTTTATTATATATTAAACAATCTAGGCTTGTTCTCAACCAATTGTGTAGTTGGCATCATCATCATCATTATTACAGCCCTTCACAAGTCCACTGCTGAATATAGGCCTCCCCCACGGTCCTGAGCCACCTGCATCCATCGACTTCCTGAATGTCTTACCAGGTCGTCACTCCATCTAATGGGGGGTCGCCCTACACTTCGCCTACCGGTAAGAGGCTGCCACTCAAGAACATTTTTGTACCTTGAGTAGTTAGCATAATCATTAATAAATTACTAATCATCATCAGAATTGGCTACGGCGATGTATTAGTAATAAAACATCTATGGCTCGGTGGCACAGAGGCTAAAGTGTTCGGATGCGTCGCTGCGAGACGCGTGTTTGAATCCTATACAAAACAAGTGTGTATATAATAATAACAAGTTACAATTTTAGGAATAGTTATGTTGACTACTTCTATTTCTGAAAAATAATTTATTATTTTTTATAATTAAATTGCTGAATATTTTTTTTAATAGTAAAATATCACCACATTGAAAATTTGTTGTCAAAGAAGAAAGTGACTTCAATTTAAAATAGTTATTTGTCAAAGATTTTTGGGTTTTGTACTAAAAGAATAAAATTGTCACTCTGCTGTTGGTCTATCAGTCAATCCGAGTACTTCACGGATCTCTAGCTCGTGGGCGAAATGAGATATAGACCTGAAGTTTGCATATCCGGTGTAGGATGTTGAATACTGAATTATAATTGCTATAAATATTTTTCAGGGAAGAAATACAGAGGAAATAGCCTAGAGTTTACTAAGTCTGTGTTCCGAAATATAACCCAGTATACTGGCCAATGTGAATTACGTCATAAATCGACGCCATACTGGTGATTTGTTTCAAAACATTGTCCAGCATATGACATCATACATTTGCGCCATATTGCAAATGTATACCATAATTTGGCTCTGTCAAACATTATTTGTAATAAAAATTAACATCATTTATAGTACAAATAATTTATTTTTAGGTTAAGTACAATAATTCTATAGCTTACCTGAATATGCTCTTGACCACTCTTCCTCAGTAACAAAGAATGAGTATGATTTCTTATTATCTTATCATCGTACAGATTTAACTGTTTAAGCTCTGCCATTTTTTGTATTTGGATAAATAAAAACAAATTCTGGCATGCTTCTTTCAGCGTACACACAATTTTTTTTTAATATGGTGGGATATCCGACACAACATGGCGGCGGCACATCAGTACAATATGGCGTCAATTAATGACGTAATTTGCATTCGCCAGTATACTTGGTTCTATTTCGGAACACAGGCTAAGTAAAATATATTTTTTATTCTTTTGTTTTCTTTAAAGAAATGGGGGGTGAGGGCGTCAAAGCTCTCAGTTTTAGACAGTTTTCTTTATTTTTAGTTATTGAGATAATCTCTAAAACTAAACTAACTAGGAATTTAAAATTTCTTTATGCAACACAATATACTCTATTAAACAACTATAGTCCGTTCGCGTTAAGAAAATAGTGAGTCATCAGTGCAACTACAGGGTAAAGGTGTATTCACAGTGGAGGAAACATTCTTCTTTTTTTTTTTCAAACATTTAATTAGGTTTAATGGAAACAAATTTTCTTAAAATTACTTAAATCACTAATCAGTATCGCTAGATTCTCCAGTTACATTAATTATGAAAGAATATTGTTCTACAGGTCGTCATGCAATGTCGGGTAGTCGTTATTTAAATATATTGAGTGAACTTTTCTCCTTATTGCACATTTGTCTAGTTCATCTAATTTATCGACCGTCGATAGTCGAGCTCTTTTTTTCACGGGTGATTTTAATGTGTTAGTATCCTTTTGTTCTTTAATAATTTTATAAATAGTATTTTCGGACACACCACATGCACTTGCTGTATTTATTACTGTGCTCTCCACAGTCGCATTTAAATCACACATTTTAAAGTACTTATAAACATTGTAAATTACGCGTCTCTCTCCGCTATGGATTATTGATCCACTTTTATTCTTTCGAATAGGTGAGGTATTCATTTTCAAAATTTAATGTTGAACGAGTAACACGCAAAATACACAACCGTTTTGTTCGAAAGCCTGAATTCAACTGGTCACTGTGAACTCGACTTTCTAATTTCTTGCATTTTAATTGGCTGGGGGGCGTGGTCAGGCCGGCGGCCAACGATGACTCACTATTTTCTTAACGCGAACGGACTATAATTCTGAAAACATTGATTCATGTTTTCAGTATTAGTTGTAGTTGCAGCGGCACAATGTAGTTTGGACCAAAACAAACGAAATCCTTTTTTTTGAGAAAAATAAATTGGTAAATATATATGCCCGAATCGCACTTGGAGGTCTTTTTATACTGCCCCATTTTTACAAAATGAATTCTACAGTATTTTTCAATGACAGCGACAATTCTTTTATTATAATAAAGCACTACAGTTTGTAATGGTAGCAGTAGCAAATCTTCTTCCGGGTGTTTCCATATGTGGAACCTGATACAATTTGAAGTCCATAGCAATCTACGAAACAAAACAATGTTTAGATACTCTTTATTGATTCATGTAGCCTTTCAATCGGCAGATTGAAACTTCATTTCTATAGACAACTGCTGAACACAAGCCTCCCCCATAAATTACCCCAAAGGGACGTTTATTGCCATAGTGATCATGCTTGACAAGCGTAATGACGACCGCAGTTTTGTATTATTTTAAATTGCTATCAAGAAGATGACGTTATTCATCGCCTGTTTCCTTCCCCAGTGTCGCCTCTTACGACACCCACGGGACGATATGGGATTGTGGATTTACTTACGCCGCCACTAAATAGGGGAGGTACACTCGTGTTAAAGTATATTTAAAATTTTAAAACTATTCAAACTGATATTCAACTGAATAAAATATTTTACACTATAAAAAATTTAAAATATTTTATTCAGTAAAAACAACATAAATTCAACAAACATAAGAGTAGCTAAACATTTTTACATGCGTCTTTAATTTTATTTGTGTTATGTGTAATTAAAACAACGCTATTTATATTGCAATATTATATTAAAAAAATAGAATGTATGTGCATGAAACTACGTTCACATAATATTAAGGTACGGATTTTCCCGTTGCTAATCTACTTGGTTTGCCGCGCGGTGCCGACGTCCAAGTTTTTATTTTCTGAAAATAAAAATATTTATTTTATTAAAATAAAATAGTTTACTTTTGCCATAAATGTCAAGTAAAAAATACCAAATTGTAGCGACTTTATTCCTTTTTTCCTATCCCTTTCTGTATTTTTATTAACTGCTTCAAACCCTCACCGTGATTGTATTTTCTTCCTCGTAATAATTTTTTAAGTTTCTGATAAACTTTATTTAAATAAAATACTATTTGAAGAATAATATTATATATTGGATAGTATTATTATTTGCCTTTTTAATTCAGTAAAGACACTTTAATTCTGGAGATAAGGTACGATATAAATAATATATATTTGTTTAATTTCTTCCTAAAAAACAGTAAGCATCATTGTGTAGTTGCCACTTGCCAAACTAGATAAAAATATCAAACGTTCACCACATTATCACTGTAGGAGTATACTCCTACATTGTTGGCTTACCCAACAATATAATATTTTTACTACCCCTAAATTGAAGATTCACGTTAACGCGGAAACATTCCCGAAAATCATGATCTATAGATGTAAGCGTAGTACAAGCAAGAATCAACTTAATGTTAATTAACATAAAGATTTTCCACCTTTTTTTCCACCATAAATAATTACGAAAGTTCATGACTTTTCGCATTGAATCGGACTCATATAGAATGTTCTGTACTTGTCTCATTCGATATTATAAGCATGCACCAGCGATCCGAAAACTATCTAGGAAAGATTATTCACATCCCGCAGACAGAGCCGTGGCAGCTCAGACGGGTAACGCTCACTGTAAATATAACAGAACGTGAGTAACCCGAGTTCAATACTCGCCGGCACCAATGAAATTTTTAATTGCAATTGTAAGTGTTGATTTACCACGTGCTCGGCGGTGAAGGAAAACATCGTGAGGAAACCTGCATGTCTAAGGAATAAGAAAAAAAAATATTTCAGACATGTGAAGTTCGCCAACACGCATTGGGGCAGCGCGGCGGACACTTCCTTACCCTGAAACCCTCTCAGAAATGAAGGGAGGCCTGTGCCCAGCAGTGGGACGTATATAGGCTGTAACTTTACTTTGTATAGATATTATGATCCACATATATCCTTGATTAAGAATCAAAATGCAGATGCGTTGTATCCCCTAAGGATTAAGACGCAATGCTTCATTTCCAGTAAAAATGGTCTCCGGTTCTCTACACTCACCATACGGAACACAACAGCACCAAGCTGCAATTTTATGCTGGTATTCTGTAAAAGTTTAGATTTTCTGGTCGAGCCGTCGCATTCGTGCTACACAACCATAATAACTGCAGCATGGCTTTACCACGTAGACTTTAAAATTTAAAACTACTTACACATTTAACCTAAGTATATATCTTTGGAGATTATTCAGATTTTATATCATATTACTTATAACTAATTCAGATTCAAGGTTGTCCCAGCCAGGTGCCAAGGTACTGTCGTATCTCAAGACGTGCTTCCGTCAATTCGGGAGGGTCGCTTTCGCTGGCCGGGTACATGTTCGCACAGTGAGCGGTACCTGAGGACAATTAAAATGTTCAAATGATATTTGTGTTCCGTAAATAAAGTCAGTGGAGGTGTCCAATAGCTTGAAGAACTGAGGTCGGTTCTGAGGTACTGCAGATGGAGAAAGATTCTTTTTTTGAAGTGAAAACTCCTTTAGCGGCGTTGTACACTTTTTTTGTAATGGATAAAAAATGTTAAACTCGCGTCAGGACACGTGACCTGATCGAAATTCGTAAGACGAAAACTTCTTTAGCGGCGTTGTACACTTTTTTTGTAATGGATAAAAAATGTTAAACTCGCGTCAGTACACGTGACCTGATCGAAATTCGTAAGACGAAAAATTCTTTATCGGCGTTGTACACTTTTTCTGTAATGGGTAAAAAATGTTAAACTCGTGTCAGGACACGTGACCTGATCGAAAATTCGTAAGACGCCGTCGAAATTATGGATGGAAGTTTGTTTTTTCGGAAAGATAAACATTTTAATGTAATATAAATTGTCATGTTTGTGTACGATAGCGCAATAAATAAATATTGTATTCTACCACATAAATGATAGTACTTTTATACTGATAATTAAAGCAATTCGTGCAAAATTATTCCCTAACCATTCCAAAATATCAAAAATGTACAACGTTAATGTTCAAGTTATCACTTCTGCCGGCACTCCCGGGGTGCAAACCGTCATTTTTTTTTTATTTAAATGCCTTGTGGGTTTAAAGGTGGTAAGCACTAAATTCTCAATAGCAGCCCGAAGTCAGGAAGCTCTTCAGTTTCACTTTCGTGACTTAGAAAGTATGACAGCGGACAGTCGTGCGCCTGATTGCTATCCGGTTGTGTCGGATTACTGTCCTGTCGGAGTGTGAGAGTGCACCTGCACTCGAGCATCTAAATAGTGATATGTTGCCACAGTAAACAAAATTATTGCAGCAGCAGCTTTTTCGCGGCGGGTTTACGAAAGATTGTGAGCAACCCGTGAATGTAGAAAGCACGACTTGTGCCGTGAATTCACGGCACTAATGTGGAGGTGCCATAAGAGAAAGGAGAGTCAATGAACAGCTGCGTCAGGTGTACGTGTCGCTTGATACTACAACTTAATTCTGTTAAAAGTGGCAAATATGGCAGATCCTCTATTATACAGTATGAAGACGACAATACGACAATAAATTAAACTTACCTAATCTAATGATATTCCAAGACACAAATATGCATGAAAATCGATCAAATATGTCCAATATAGTTTAGTCACAGGACTTAATGTTCCATATTTAACACTATACTCGCATATGTTTATATTTATCGATTACTAGGCTATCATTGTAAAGGACCCTCGTATTGGTATAGAGACATTTCAAAAACCATCATCAAATTTGTTCTTAAATTTTATTTTCCGATACAAATTAATGCACATTATTCCTTACGCTAGACCCAAAGTCATAAAGCGTGTTGAGCAATAATGGCGCCAAAAGATCACGTTGTTACATTATTTACAAATGTTCTATTTTGTTTAGCTTTTTTAGTTTGTTTAATTTTTTTCTTATTTCAGTGTTCGGATTTCTTCGATAGTTTCAAAGTAGTCCTATGAATTAGAATTGCGAGTATTTTCATTTATTGTCATCTCCACACTGTATACTGAGGCCTATGTTGAACAGTGAACTGTTTACGTTTACATCATCACACATATCAGCACTTAACAGCACTTAACACTAACGTGTAAGAATTTAAAGGGACTAAGTTGAAGAACTTGGAAATATATTATAGGTACTAACCGTGTATGTATATAGCAGGAGCGTCGTTATCCTCTGTAGTTGTCAATCCGAGCGCGTGCCAAGGGTCTATGGAGCCGTGGACGAACACAACGCGACTCACCGAGATGCCCAGCCCTCCGTAGTAACTGTTGGTCCAGTCTGCCACATTATCTATGAAATCTTCGTTGAATCTAAAAACAAAACATTACGTTGAAGTTGACTAATAACGGAGGGCCAATTTTTCAATCATCACATGAAAGTTATAGGATAAAATCAACGTATGTAAATCAAATATCTGTGCCTTTTGTAGGGCCGAGAATTGAGCATTAGGACATGAATAACTATTTTTGAAAATTTCTCTGTCCACACGAACAGATAACGCCAGGCGCCTAGGATTATATTTACCCAGAATTTAAAAAAAACGATGAAGTGTGAAACTGATATATAATAAATGGTCGTTGATTACTGTAAATCTAAATAACGCCTCATTAGTGGATTCTATATAATCTAGGCGCAAAATAACAAATAAAATTACAGTTGTGTAAATAAAATAGTTCAATTTATTTTTAATTTTCATATTCTTCTGCTTTATATCCAACCAGGATAAAATTTTTTTGTTAGAAGTAACTTTAGAAAAATCAACCCTACCTAACTAACCTAACTTAACCATAGAATAGAATAATTTTTTATTCAATATAGATTACAAGTCAATATTTTACGTTACCACAATATATTACAAATGTATTCTCGTAGATTTTGAGATTCGTAGCCACTTTTACGGAAACAATATTTTTTGCCAAAAAATCTTTACAGTTTACTAATTAAGGGGATATAGTAAGTCAGCTCAAATTCTAATTTCGCCCCCACTTCCCCGCGCGTCGTATGCTATGTACCGACATGTTTGTAATCACTAATACTGTAAGTAGATAGGTCGTTAGATACTTATTTCATTAGGTTTATCATATTTATGCCTGTTTCTTAACGCCAACCCAGTCGCTTCTTATTTTTATTACGGTTATTTACCGTTTTAATTTTACGTCGTCCTGTTGCGTAATGTGTATTCCGATCGTAAGCGACACAACCTTCCCCCCCCCTTCAAGGGGCTGTGGGCGGCAGGAAACGTTCAAAACTCTGATAGTTTAGGTAAATTCTTTTTACAGTGAAAATAATGGTTTATAGTTCAGTTAGTATGCAAAGTTTCATGATCTTATTTAAAGTGTTTTATGAATAACAGCGGTTTATCGTTTATTTTGGAGGTAACTTTGGATTTTTTTTCTATCGAGAAAATTTTACGGAATCATGTTTTCGTCTAACATAGTCCTTAAAATTTATCCTCAACTTTACCATATATTTATTTCAAAATTAATGCTGCAATATTTTCGGTATAACGGAGGATCTTGCTAAGCCATTTGAGGTTATATTTCCCCTTAATAGATGAACACACGTTATATTACCGCTATATTATAGTGAAAGTCACTATATAAATAAGAATATACATTTATTTATTTACTTTTACTTTAATTTAAACGGTTAAACTAATTACATATTTTTTAAAAAAAATGAGAGTGGCGAACGAGCACACGGTCCATCTGATGATAAGTAGGTACCATGGCTGGTCCATAGGTCCAATTAAAAATCAAAATGCAGATTCAGTTTTCACCTCTGAGGACTTAGATAGAATGCTTCGTTTCCAGTAAAAAGAGTCGCCGGTTTTCTACACTCACCATAGGAAACACAGCAGTATTAAGCTGCTATATTATGCTGATATTCCGTAACAATAATTTTAGATTTAACAGTGGTAGAGCCACACGGCAACTTTTGCTGTCGCAAGGATGGGCCGGCTCAAACCGTTAGCGTAAGCGACACAACCTCCCCCTTCAAAGGCCGAAGTGAAACTGACCGGGCGGCAGGAATCACGCTTCAAGAGGCCGATAGTTTAGGTAATTTCTTTTTACAGTGAAAATAATGGTATTTTAAAAAAAAGTAAATAACATAAGCACTGCTTTATAGTTAGTTCAGTTAGTATGCAAAGTTTCATGATGTTATTTAAAGTATTTTATGAATATACTTTGGATTTTTTTCTATCGAGAAAATTTTACGGAATCGTGTTTTCGTCTAACATAATCCTTAACATCAATCCTCAACTTTACCATATATTTTGTTCTTGCTAGATCTTGGTAAGCCATTTGAGGTTATATTTCCCCTTAATATATTATATTTCCTAATAATGCAGCGTATCAGTTATCAACTTAGTTATGCCGTCTGAAAGTAGCCGTAATATCCATGTAATATTATAACAACCTATTTATTCCAAATTGTCCTAAGGTATTTATATTAGATTGCTCATAAACACGATATTTGCAAATAGTCACATATCGATCACGAATTGTGCCGATTAAGCTTTTGATATTAGATCACTGAAAACATGTTACGCAAAAACCGTTGACTCCACTGTAAAATTGTTATCGCTGACGAAATCAAGATCTACATTCAGTCTATAGATTTGTTTTGACCATCCTACATAAGCGTTGCATTTAGAATAAGATTCATTACAGTTTTCATAGAAGTAACGTAATCACTTAGTTAAAGAAGTCAGTATTGCATTGAATTAGTTTTAATTAATTATTGTAATGACATAGTAATTAAAAATGTAATCGCGTCGTATTTGTAGCTTTAAAAAAGCTTCAGCACCGCTCCCGAAACTTTAATGAATACAGAGAGTTTAAAAAGTTATGCTTTTGGGCCCAGGCATTCTATGATTTCAGGTAAGGAAAGTCTGTCATCGTAATGCTCCAATCTATCTTATTTAATTTCACATGACCAATATAACAATACATAATTATAGGTATAAATTATTAAAGTGTATTAACTAAATGCCTACTTTAAACACTATTTAAATTTTATACGTGGTAGAGCCACGCTGCAGCTATATTATGGTTGTAGCACGAATGGGTCGACTCGACCGGGGAAGGACCACGCTTTCACAGAATAAAATAGCAGCTTAATGCTGCTGTGTTTCGTATGGTAAGTGTACAGAACCGGAGACCCGTTTTATTGGAATCGGGGTATTCCATCTTAGTCCTTAAGGGTGACAACGCATCTACATTTTGATTCTTAATCGAGGTTAAATATAGATGTCTATGGGCCACAGCATCCACTTACCATCTGGTGGACTGTGTGCTTGTCACCCTTATCCTATAAAACAATATAAAATTTCATAATCTACAATTAAAAATTTAAAGCTTCCCATGGTGGATTCAACTATGCTGAACATCACTCATAATAATTTCCTCCAGATCTCATTTCTACAACGTCGGCTAGTCTCGATGAAGACTAGGTATCTTCACAGGATATGATTATAGTGCACAAGTGCATGCACTAGCACAGCAACACTATCTATTCCCTCAATCTCATAATCCGATGAGATGGTAACCGAATCAGGCGCAGATCCTACGGCTGAACGTACTTTCCGTGGGCCGGGAATAAACCATCGCATACTACTGAGCATTTCTTGATAGAAGTACACAACTAAAAAATTTTGCCCTGACCCAGAAATCCAGCCCGGGACCCCATGACCAGCAGGCACGCTTACGTCCACTGGACCAACGACCTCACGCGTCCTACAGCTAGGCACAGGCCTACTCCCATTTCAGAGAGTGTTTACATTAGAGATATTACATTTACATTGGAGATTGTGAAAACATTAATATTTATAAACGTAAACTTTATGATCTACTAAATGAAAAAGCATATTATTCTTTAGATGAATTCCTTAACGACACATTTTAGCATTAAAATACTACATTGAATATATACCTATCATGACATGTGCCAATTAATACTAGATGACAATTAGACAAAACGATGACAATTATTATATGCTATATTGTACTATACCTTTATTATCTTTAAAACTTTCTTATTATTAATACATTATTTAATTATTTCAATTAGAAACTGACATCAGAAGAGAAAAAAAGTTAAGCAATTATTATTTCATATTTTGTATGCCTACTGGCGGGACATAGAGAACCGACCTTGTATTTTACTGTGTATATATTGAGATCTGTAAATTAACCTATGTTCACAAAATAAACTGATTTGATTTGTTTTAGTTTTTGTTGAGTCTACTACCCCAATGTGTTAATGGGACTTCACATGTCCTTCAAATATGTTTTATTTCGTAGGCAAATTGACTTCCCACCTTTGTACACTGCCAAATATATAAATCTGTACTTATAACGTCATTGCCATTTAAAATTGCAAATGTTTATTTTGAATAAATAAATTATTAACACATTGAAGTGTACAGTTATTTTTTGTATACTTAGTACTGAAGAATAAACGAGAGAAATTCATTAGACATCGATGAAGACTAAAAAAAATAATGTAGTAATGTACTTACTTTGCACCGAAAACGTCTTGACACTGCTGTATAAAGAAGTCCAAAGAGAAGTGGTCACCGAACACCTCCACCTCGCCGGATGAGGTTTGGTAGAAACCAAACTCGGTGCACGTCTGGTACATCCACTGACGGGCTAACATGCAAAAAAATTAATCTTTTTGTACTACAATTGACATAAAAATTAACTTACTACTTATGACTTGACATTTTCACAGTTTAAGAAGAACATACAGTCGGTCATCGTCTTCATCTTGTAGGAATAGTCGACGTCGTCTAGACTTTTGTCGTGAGGAATACAATTGCTAGGGTTGACACAACGGCAAATAATGGGTATGTTCCTAAACGTTTTCAGTATACTGCCGAATACAAATGACGTCATCAATTGACACTATATTGTACTGGCGTGCCGTCGCCATATTGCGTCGAATATCCGGCCACAATAAAACAATTTTTGATTGTGTGTGCGCTGAGTGAAGCATGTCAGAATTTGTTTTTATTTATTCAAATACAAAAAATTATAGAATAATTGCTGGTATCTCCATTAGGAGGATATAATGATTTTTGTAATCTGATAATCGCCAACACTTTTCCAATATGGCGCAAATGTATGACGTCATATACTGTCCTATGTTTTCGAACGAATCACCAGTATAGCGTCGATTCATGACGTCATTTGCATTGGACAGTACACTGGGTTCTATTTTGGAACATACCCAATAAAATAGAATATGTTGATTTTTACAATTTAAATAATTTAATGAGATAATGGGCGTTCATAAAAATTTAAATAGGTTATAATAAGCAGACTTTCGAAATTTTTAGTGCACAACTTCAATGTCTGCCATATTATGACAGATGTTAGTTTTTATCTGCTATCACTATATTTACGCTTTCTTTTAAGTGGTATTAAATATTTATTCGATTGTAACCTAACTCATCTATTCTATTGGAATTAAATCAAATCATATTTCCGGATGTGCAATTGATAGATGTTTAAGATCTTTTGAACTACTAGATTTTAAATTTCTGTTATTCCGCCGTTTTGTTTATATACACGTACTGTGAACCGTTTTAATTTATTTGCAACGTGACGGGACAGTCCTGCCGGACAGTCCCCGAACAACTTGTAAGGAGATATTCGGCCGTTCAGGAGCGCTACGGCCGCTTCTCGCCCCATACCGCACCGCACGATTGCACCGTTCAGACAGCTTCGATGACGGACTGTTAATAATAGTTTGACTGTCCCAAGACATTCTAAGAGACTGATAGCGAGTACCATTTATTAACTTTGCACCTATCTATACAATTTATACATCTATATACATTATAAATAAAATTGAAGTGTCTGTCTCTAATATCAAAATAACTGCCGTTAAGTCTCGTGCTGTCTCTATCACTTTAAGTCAAAGTGACTGTGACACTACGACATTTAACATAGAATACTATAATACATACATAATAGAACGGGAGAGTGGGCGGAGCCCGCGTAGCCACTATTATATCACAAACACGTCAATTCACACGTATAAATGTCAAAACAAGATGTGTTTTGGCGTTACAATCATTTCCAAATTTCGCATGCAAATTATTTAGAAAATGCTAAATTGCACCCTATTTACAAATAAATATGTATTAAAATTTAAATATTTTTTAATGATGATCTTGAACATTAATCAAAAGTCTAAAATGTGTAAATTTACTTAGTCTGTCACACACACTTCAACACAATCACAAACACACATCACAATTCACACGACGCCAATCCCCTTACAAAATAAGGTTGACAGCCATTCTACTGTGTATTATAGTATTCTATGACATTTAACGACATTTGAAAATTAAGAGACTTTGAATATTTCTTTAGTAGTCTTTGAAATATCTGAACCGATTCTAATAAAACCTCACAAACAGATACAGAGTAGTCATACCACGAGTGATCTAAGCGGTATTATATCCGACAAACTTTTCTTTGGTCTTCAATTCAATTTTCAAATTTCTTCGGTTCGAATCCCACATCGTACCAAAATAGAGTGCATCTGTGCAAATGGCTAGTCTGCGTTGATACTGGCCCTCGTGACCGGAATTCGATTTAAAGGACATTACTCAAGCAAAACTAAAACACAGGTTTGTGTTTGATCAGTTAGTATTTGACCTGTGGGAAATGGGCAGGAACTTGATTCGATTCGAATTGTCTTTGATGTATATATTAAATCTAAATAACGCCACATTAATAGATCCAGCTGAGGCCGGGGTGATTAACTAGTATAATATAAATTACAACGGCGGCTCGTTCACCCGGCCTCGCGCGCGCGAGCCTCGTACCAAAAAACACACGTAACACAGATTGTGACACTTAAGCGACTGTTGCTATGCGAGACGTTTCCTTAATATTTATCACCTTTCGACGAACAAACTTTATGCTGTAGTTACGAATCTTGACGGAAAAAGACGAGATTGTGGAATCGTAGGGGGAGTATTAAGACGGGCCCTTCGTTCTCGTACGGTCCGCTAGGTGACTTTGGTGACGTCATAGTGTCTTCTAATGAATTAGATATTTTATATTACCTTTTTTCTATTTTGCAAAATAAGATATATACCATAAGCTTGTATTCTAACACCTTGTAAAATAACAAGTTCTGTTAAATACTACACACAAGTATTAACTAAATTAAAACGAAGGAATATAAATAATGTACACACCTCCCTCCGATCCCCAAGTTATATTCCTCAAGTCATTGATCATGTTGTTGTAACTGTAGTCCATGCATGTCTGGTTAGCTTTGTCCAACATGATTGAGTTAAAGGCAGCCAGACGTTTGTAGGCTGAACTTTCGCCGGGCTCCGTCAACATTTTACATACCTGGAACATACTTGGTAGATACATGTTATTGCTATATTATAGTTGTAGCACGAATAGGTCGGCTCGTTTGGAAAACAATCACGCTCTCACAGAATGCCAGCGTAAAATAGCAGTTTCATGCTCCTGTGTTTCGTATGTCGAGTGTAGAGAACCGGAGACTTTTTTACTGGAAATGAGGCATTCCATCTTTTTTTTATAGAAGAGGGGATAAACGAGCATGCGGTTCACCTGATGGTAAGTGACTACCGCCGCCCATGAACAACCGACACACCAGGGGAATTGCAGGTGCGTTGCCGGCCTTTTAAAAAGGAGTAAGCTCTTTTGTACGATAAAGATATTAATATTTAATTCGCAACCATCCGCTCAATTAAATACAATGATCTGTCTTAGAGAGAAAATTGGTGTTGGTGGTAGTGGTGCCGGGAGTAGTGGTGTTGGGGTGGTGCTGGGAGTAGTGGTACTGGGACTAGTGGTGGCGCGATTAGTGCACGCAATTGAGGGAGGGCGGGAGGTGCTCTTCAATCCAGGTAAGACACACCATTGTATTTATTTGAGCGGATGGTTGCGAATTAAATATTAATATCTTTATTATAATGAATTTCCGCAAAGTAACGCCTGATTCTATCAATTATCTTTTGTACGAGTTGTACGAAGAAGAAAACTCCTAGTAAAACGCTATCTCAGTCCGCATTTTGATTTTCAATCGAGGATAGATGTCGATGTCTATTGACCAAAGTATCCAGTTACCATCAACTGTGGACTGTGTTCATTTGTCACCCTTTTCTATAAAAAAAAAACATTATATTCCGTTTACAGAACTAACGTCGGCAAAGCCTAAGTTGAGTCATACTTTTCATAGGTAAGATTGGTCATAGATTGCCGAGTAAAACCAAAGAAACTAGATAAAGAAATAGCTTCAGGAACACACTGCTGAGACATTAGACTTTTTAAGTTCATAAATTTTAAGTGCGTTGAAGTTAGATATCATCATTTCAAGCCATTACAGTGCTGAGTACATTCACCACTTTGTCTCAAAGAGAGACGACTCTGAATCTATACAACTAAATAAAATTGAAGTGTCTATTTGTAATGTCAACATAACAGCTTTTAACTAAATGCATATGAAAGTATGTATGGTTTGTAAGGCCACACACTTTTAAGAAGTAGAGTTGTAGTTAGTTGATGAGCACGTCAGAAGGAAAAGATCACCAAAGTTAAAAGTTTAATTAAAAGTAAAATAGTTAATAAAGTTAGAGTGGCAAATTTTTTCTTGAGTGGTTGGTGTTTCGATGGACGGTTGTTGACGTACTGCCGATCGTCAGCTTGCAATTAAATAGGTAAATTTAAATACACGCGACGCCCGGCTAAAGTAGGTTGCAACGTTCACTAAATAAAAATGTGTGGTGTAACCATACATATTGGCCACCCGAAAAGCAAAGAAACGAAAGTTAACTCTCAAGAAAAAGATATGCCAGCACAAAGCAAATAATTAAAAGTTTTAATTATCAAAATTGAATGTGACGCTGCGGAGTGGGCCCCTGCTTGGACGCTGCACGCGTAGCTCGCCGCAGGAGTGACGTCATCCCTTGATACTGAAGTTCGATGTCCTTGTCTTGTACTGCCCCCGACTTGCAGCATAGTAAGTTACGCTTCCGGATGATCCACACCAGACATCCCAGTACAGCAGCTCCAAACAAGGTGTAGCAAATAATATATTGATGGATGTCATGACTCGAAATAGGTGTCGGTAGTACTTCGTGTTCATGAAGATGGAGTAGTTTCTTCTCGATCTCCTGCGTGTCCGTTTGGATCGTTTCGCGTCGACCGCTCAGTAAAGAGTTGTGGTAGGTCAAGTCGACGATATTGTTCACCGACGAGTTTAGTGTAGGGACCTCGTACTGGCGCTGCATCTGCATGTTAGTGCTGTACTCGTTGTGCGAATAAATAGTTGTATCTTTGGATTGTAAAATACAAACTTGCGCTATAGTTATAATGCTAGATGTCGTCATTGTGTGTGACGTAACGTCGGTATCGCAAATTGTGCGCAAAGTGCAAGCTCCGTAGCAAATGGCCAGCCAGCTGTTCGGCGAATATAACGCGATCCACGCGTCAACACAGGTCGTCTTTCTGACGTCACAAGGAGGTTGTACACCGTGACTTAGTAATAACGCCCCGTAAGGTGCGTTTTTGTTGTTCAAGTTAAATACTGGCAAATTCTTGTAGCAGATGTAGCGGCGTTACTTTAGTTGAATGCAGAATTTAATGTCATTTTCAGCTATTGAGATGTGTGTGTTGAGTGATGAATTATCTTTCCGTAAATTCACAGCAATTTATTGTGATTGCACTAGCAGTGTAGTAGTTTCTGTTTCAGTCTTCATAGGTAGTGCGATAGCTCTGTAGAGTAAAAATTCGTCGTCCGATATGAGTGGCACGTGAACTTCAAATTAAAAGTAGTTAGACGTCACTCGAGCCTTTACGTAGAGAAGTTTGTGGATATCTTTGATATCCAGTTTTTTTTAACAGTGGTAGAGCCACGCGGCAGCTTTGCTGTTGCACGTATGGGCCGGCTCAAACTGGGGTGGTACCACGACCTCACAGAATACCGGCGTGCCGCGTTTCATCTGGTGAGTGCAGGTGGCCGGAGGCCCAGATCCCCCCCCCCCATCAACATGGTAGCGGAATTAAATGATGATAGACTACCCCAGGAGGGTCAAGCACCCCTGGAAAACCTCTCGCTGAGCATCCACGACCATGTTTCTCCACTCCTGAGCGTGGCTGCTCAGGCTGCCCCGCGTATTCTGGGGGGGCGGGGCAAAATTCCACAAGACCAAGGCGTCCCCTGCCACGCTATCCGTGAATTTCTGCAATATCAGGGGACTTCACTCTAACCTAAACGCCGTCCATTACCATCTCGAGACGGTCGAGGCCGGCTCTGTTCTTTCTGACCGAGACGCAGGTGTCCTCCCCGGCTGATGTCTCGTATCTCTCCTACCCGGGGTACAAACTGGAACACTCCTTTGTGCCTCGGGCTGAAGTTTGCGTTTACGTCAGAGAGGACATCTGTTCTCGACGCCTCGGCAGTCTTGAAGGTTCGGACCTGTCCATCCTTTGGCTACGCGTAGACAGCGACGACCATCCGCGCGTCTACGGGTGCCTCTATAGGTCCCATAGCGGTAATGCCGAAACAGACCGACTCTTCGACCACGTCCAAATGGCTACAGATTCGTTGCTACAGCAGATCCCCTCCGCAGAGATCGTGATCCTCGGCGACTTTAACGCCCATCACGCCGAATGGCTTGGTTCACGTTTAACCGATCATGCGGGGAGATCTGTTCATGATTTTGCCTTGGCATATAGTCTGACACAACTGGTTACCTCGCCTACGAGAATTCCAGATGTGGAGGATCATGCACCTTCCCTGTTGGATCTTCTGCTGACCTCTCACCCGGACGGATATCAGATTTCCGTCGACGCCCCTTTAGGCTCCTCGGACCATTGTCTTGTCCGGAGTGTGGTGCCACTCACGCTGAAATCGCAGTTGCATTATGCAGGCTGTCACCGTTTTTGGCACTATAGGTCAGCCGATTGGGATGGGATGCGGTCTTTCTTTGCATCCTACCCTTGGGGGGTGGGTTTGCTTCTCGCCGGACGATCCCAACGTTATTGCGGATTCAATCGCTGATGTTGTACATCAGGGTATGGAACTTTTTATTCCTTCATCTGTGGTGCCCATCGGAGGCAAATCTCAGCCATGGTTTGGTCGCTCCTGTAAAATAGCATCATGCTATAAGCAGGAGTGTTACCAAGCCTGGGCTGACGCATCAACGTCCCGGGATGTAAACACCAGCGCTCTAAAAAAGAAGTATAATTCCGCCTCTAGGTCCTTCAAAAGAGTCACTGCCAAGGCAAAGTCAGAGCACATAGGCAGGTTTGGCGAGAAACTAGTTCGCCTTCCTTCTGGAACCCATGTATTCTGGTCTCTCGCCAAGGCTGTCCAGGGGAATTTCTGTCAGCCATCTCTTCCATCTCTGCACAGGGAGGACGACTCACTGGCCCATACCGCAAAGGAGAAAGCCGATCTGCTAGGCTCTTTCTTTGCATCCAACTCGACTCTCGATGACGGGGGGAGTACGCCGCCGACCATCCCGCGGTGTGAGTGCTCCATGCCGGAAGTGCATTTCACACAGCGCGCGGTTCGCAAAGCACTCCTCTCCCTGGAGATCCACAAGTAGAGTGGGCCTGACGGAATCTCCCCAATTGTACTGAGGACGGGTGCTCCAGAGTTTGCACCGGTTTTAACTCGTCTTTTCCGGTACTCCTACTCCATAGGCGTAGTCCCAAAATCATGGAAGACGGCTTTCGTCCACCCGATCCCTAAAAAAGGCGACCGCTCAGACCCGTCCAACTACCGGCCTATCGCCATCACCTCCTTGTTCTCCAAAACAATGGAGTCCATTGTAAATAGTCAGCTCATGAGGTACCTTGAGGATCACCAGCTGATTAGTGATCGCCAATACGGTTTTCGCCGTGGTCGATCAGCTGGGGATCTTCTGGTCTACCTAACTCATAGATGGGCGCAGGCAGTAGAGTCCAAAGAGGAGGCATTGGCCGTTAGTTTTGGAAGGCCTTCAATCGGGTTTGGCACAAAGCGCTTCTTTCGAAGCTCCCTTGCTATGGGCTTCCCGCGAAATTGTGCGATTGGATCACCAGCTTTCTTGCAGATCGGAGCATCAAGGTCGTTGTAGACGGTGCAAGCTCCGACTACAAGCTGGTGTTCCACAAGGCTGCGTGCTATCGCCAACGCTGTTCCTTCTGCATATCTTACTGGAGAAGCCTTATACACCGGCCGTGCCAATATTCGGCATATACAAATTTACACTTATAATAACTAGGACTTAGAGAGATTTTGTAAGGATATAGTAACGACTTAGTAACGATGACTGAGACTTGAAGATTGATTGAGACGGAATGTAAACTTCTTGTAGACCGACTGAAGACTC